GTGCAAACATACTTCTGGGTGTCTCTGTTGATTTATGCTATAGTTGCTCTGGTATTTGTGTTAAAATAGCATTTTAAAACTCTAAAATATTGCTATTTATTCCATCCTTATTCTTTGCCACTTGACAAGCTCGGGAGCGGCGTATGTCTCCCCAGGACCAAGTTTCCAAGAGTGGTTCTCCGGGGTGGGGGCAGGAGCTGCAGGCTGGGACCAGGTGCCCCAGGGTGGCACGGGACGTGGTCCAGCTGGGCACTTCTAAGGCGCTGGACTCATGAGCTCCTTGGGGCGGACCTGCAGATCATTTGAGGTTATTTTTAGCCCCCAACGGGAGGAAAACAAAGACAAATGGTGAGTCTTCATAAAGCTAAATTCGCTCGATGGAAAGACCTCTAATTCTGGCATTCTTTTCTTTTTAGTCTCAAACTTTGCATTCTTGGGTGGCTGAAGGGGACTGTGGATGATAGGATTTTTTCTTCTAGGTCAGCTTTCCTTGGAAACATAAGTTCTCCTGTTGGGTTTTAGGGGGAGGGGTATTTTAACTGGTCTGCAAGAATCCACAAATCTGGGGCACGCTTGTGCAAAGCTAGGGGTGCTGGGCTCCGCTGCTGATCCGAGCCCACCCTCCGCAGAGGCAAGGGCTGGGGTGAGACCTGGGACGGGGCCCACACCGTGGTGGGGGACAGCTCTGCGGCAGCGCAGGGCGCCTGCAGCCGGCTGGCGTGTGGACGAGGCCTTCTGCCTCCCTGCCGAAATCTGTGCACACCACCGCAGATGGGAGAATGAGCCAATATTCAAATTGGAGGCTGTTTTGCTAACACGTTAAAGATTAACGTGCTTTTACTGGCTGCCACATACTGTGAAAGATGAGTGTTCTTTCTAAAAAAGAACAAGGAGAAAGAGAGGCCTCCTGTTCGGGGCCGGTGCGGGGGCTGGCGGAGGGTGCTGGGCAGCCCCTCCCAGCCTCCTCCCATCCCCACCAAGGCCTGAGGGGGCCCAGGGCTCTGAAACGCAGCCCCACCTCCAGCTCCGACGCCCTTGCCCTTAGCTTGGACAGACTCTGCCCACCCTGTGCCCCTTCCTGCTGGCTGGTCAGTTCTTGTCCCCTTTCCGTAAGACTCCACCTGCTTTGGCCCCGTGAGTCAGTTGGTTGGAGCACCGTCCTGCACACCAAAAGGTTGCAGGTTCAGCCCCTGGTCAGGGCACTTAACCTAAGTTACGGGTATGACCCCGGTCAGGGGGTGTGTGGGAGGCCACTGATCAATGTTTCTCTCTCGCATAGATGTTTTCTTCTCTCTCTTTCCCTCCCTTCCTTTCTCTCTAAAATCAATTAAAAACATGTCCTTTGGTGAAGATTTTTTTTTTAATCTGAAAAAAAAAAAGAGAGAAAAGAAAAAAGACTCAGCCCACCCTGGCTGGGTCACTCAGTTGGTTACAGCGTCGTCCTGATGCACCAGGGTTGTGGGTGCAGTTCGATCCCAGGTAAGGGCACGGAGAGGAATCAGCCAAGGAATGTGCATCAATACGCGGAGCTCCGCCCAATTGCAAATACACACACACACCTACGTATATATGAGGGTGAGGAGCTAATGTACCACGTGCTGACATCATGCCCAGCACTTCCCTGGGCAGCCCTGCTGAACCCTCAAGAGAGCCACTCCAATTGCCCCCATTTCACAGAGGGGTAAACTGAGGCACAGAGAGATTAAGTAAGCCCCCCAGGCCACACAGCCAGGAAGGGGGTTTGAGTGCAGGCAGAGGGGCTCCCACGGCAAAGCTCAGCCCCTCCCCACCCCCCACCCCAGCCAACAAGCCCATCCCTTTCCTGGGCTACAGCATACGCAGCCAGGGGCAGAGCGGGGGTTCTGCAGGGCTTTGTGGGTTGAAACTGGCTGTCTGAGAGGTCCAATCACATTTTCTCTGGCTGCAGAAAGCCTGAGCAGCAGAACTCACATCCCCTGCCCCTGAGGCCCGGGCAGGGGCGAGGGTGACTGTCCCTGGGGCCCAGGTTTCTTGCTGAAGATGCTGTGAGCAGCCTCTGGGCCAGGCGCCCTCTGATGGCCGGGAGCAGTAGTGTAGCCAGCCTCAGCCCTGGGGTGGAAGGGGCTGGGAAAGGGGAGACCTGGGGCAGGCACCTGGTGAAGGAGGGCCTTGTGGAGGGGCCAGGTGGCGAGGTGGGCACGTGCCCTTAGTCATGGCCGTCCCTGGTGAACTCCTCCCCTGTGCCCTCTGAGGACGAGGGCCAGTGGTGTCCCACAACACAGCCAGGCTGGGACGGGGACCCTGAGGGTGGCTTTCTAGTTTACTGACTCCGAATCAGGGCCATTCCTCTGAGATTCCAGCACTGGAGTAGCAGTGAAAGACCTCTGCACCCATGGCCTGGAGGCAGCCGGCAGGGGCAGGGCGTCCGGCTGGCGGCCTGGAACTGGCTGATCTCGCCCTGCCGGGTTTCCCCCACGCCCTGCGGCAGACCTTATGCAAATAGGGCCTCGAATTCCTTATCTGTGAGCTGGGCACAATGGTGACCTCAGAGATTGGGGATGTAGATTCCAGTGGGCCCCTGTTCCCAGGGTGGTCCTGATCATGTGCCAGGCGAGTTCAGAAGGGAGGGACTTCACCTGCAGACATGGGGGCGCAGAAGGGGCCCCACGAGGGAAGGACTCTGAGGGATGCAGCCTGGGACAGCACAGAGCCGCACGCCAGGGCCCCGGGAGCCCACTGCGCCCCCGATGCCCTCACATGCCCACGATGACCAGCATGGGCGGGTTTTGTCCAACACTGGCCTCTGGGACTAGAGCGGAAGCACCCCTGCTTCCGGCCAGCTGCCTGCACAGAGGCAGGTTCAGCAGATGCCTGCTGAGTGAGCAGTGACTTAAGACTCTCAAGAATCACCCGGCCAAGCCCCTACCCACGCCCCCTGAGGGCCTCCCCCCACATCCCCTGCCATTCTCCGGCCTTCCCTGGGGGCAAGGGGCTGTGTCCCGCATGCCTGCCTGAGTGTTTCCGCTGTGAACCCAGCTGAAAAGGCTTCCATGAAAGACGAGACTCCTTGGTGGGGGGTCCATGGATGCCAGGTTGTACCATGCAAACCTCAGGCTCTGGAGTTCTGCCTGGCAGCCAGGGGCCGCCCCACCCTCTCACCCACCCTCCCCTCCACCCTGTGCTGTCCCTCTTCTGCGCAAGCGCCCTTGTGCATGGCTGGGGCTGACCCTTGGCCCCACAGACATAGCCTCCACTGTCCCTGGGCTTCTCTACCGGGGCACCACCGAGCCCGAGGGCCCCATGCACCCCGGCTGTGGGGCTGCCCTGTGCAGTAGGATGCCAGCTCCCGGTGCCCCCAGCCGATACCCTCCAGACGCTCCTCCCCCAGCTGTGAAAACCAAACAAGTCTCCAGACAACCCAAATGCGCCCCCAGGAGGAAAACCACTCCCCCACGTCCCTGAGGACCACCAACCTAGGGGTCTGTGTCCTGAGGTCTGCTCATGTCCCAGGACCCGTCCTCCAGCAGCCTCAGCCAGCCCAGCCTGTGGTCTGGCCCCTGCAGGCCCCCGTCCGTGGGAAGGACCGGACGCTCTGCAGGCTGATTTCCAGGGACCAAGGCTGACGCCCCCACCAGCGAGCTGGGGAGCCCCGTGCTGTGGGAAGAGGGCTTCGCTTCGATGCCACATTTGTTGGTTTTCCTTTTTAATGTTCAAGCTGTCAAAAAAGCATGTTTGCTGAGCCAGGATGTTTGTTTGGGGTTGTTCTCTGGAACAAGATGGAAGGCAGAAGGAATAGCAGTTCTGAGCCGCCCAGGGGGTGGGCGGCAAGCGGCAGGGTGGACACAGCTCCCAGGGACAGCAAACACCAGGCTTGCAGGGCCCGGTGCCCAGAGCATGCCACCCGCCACCCCACTTAGCCCTGAACCTGCCCTTGAACAGGGCCTCATGACCAGGATCCCTGCTGCTCCCTCATCCTCCTCTGCTGCTTGGTGCAGCCCAGGGACGTGACTGGGATGCAGGCCACCGGGGGTGCCAGACATGGGGAAGCAGAAGCACAAGACCTGGCACCCATCGACTGTGATGAGGCCACCTCAGCAGGTGCGGGACCCCAGCAGGAACGCTCGGCGCTGAGACAGCCGGTGGCCACGCCTGTGTGTCGGGCCCCCCGCCATGGGCTGTGGGGCTCAGGGCACACTGCCTTCCGCCTGGCCTGGGGTCCCCAACTCCTGCTGGCAGTGTCATGCCCCCCCCCCCCAGGTGCTGACAGGAGGCCGGTGTGGTCTTCCCTGCTCTTAGAGGACAGGCTGTGGAGGTGGGCACTGCAGACCCCTGACCCACAGGGACACAGCATCCGGGCCACGGCCCTGGGCTACGTGGGAAGCCAACCTGCTGGGTGGGAGGGACAGTGGAAGCTTCCCAGTGGGGGGCAGGGGGTGAACCAATGCGGGTTTTTCGTCCCTGCCAACAGGACATTCTTGAGTGTGCCAACTTCCTGAGGTGAGGTCCCCAAGCCCCTTCCTGCTTCATAGCTGGCCGAGTCCGCAGGACCTTCAGTGATGCCTGTGCCCTGTGGGCAATGGCTGGTCCCAAGGATGGCAGGAGGGAGAGAGGGGGACAGGCAGGCTCTGAGCCCGGGTCCCCCAGCTCTCCCGGCAGCACAGGGCGTTGGGGAACCTGAGTGCAGATGGGGAAGGTGTGCAGAGCAGGTCTGAGAACTCACAGCTCCTTCCCAGGGCTCAGGGTCCTGGTACCTGAGACACCGGTGTGGACACTCCTTCTTCAAAAGACCCCATCTGACCAAAAGACTCTGGGCAGCACAGTCATCCCCCAAAGCCTCCCTCCACTCCCTCAGTGCCTGTCTGCAGGGGTCAGCCCTGCATGAAGGGGGCGGGGCAGCTGCAAGGGGAGGGGCCCCAACCCTGGCTCCAGCTGAAGGGGGAAGAGGATCCTCTGTGTCATTACTTCCCAGCGTGGCCAGGTGGGGGCGCTCCAACCCCAAGACCCTGGGCAGAGCCTTCCTGTGCTGACTTCCCTGGTCTGTCATTTCCGGAATTCTGCCTGGAATTTCCTGGGGCCAGAGATAGCAAGAAAACATCTCCACCCCAGAGACTTCCTCTAATTTCTTTGTTGCAAAAGGCGATTCCCGCTCCTGCCGTCCACTACAGGTACGCTGGACCTTGGAATTGTTTGGATTCCTGTGTTCTCTGGCCATTTCATCGTTCTTCCTCCTCCCATCCTGCAAGGATAAGTGGGTGGATGGCTGTTGGAGGCCAGGGGTAGCGGTCAGTGGCAGAATGCTGACCCAGAGCCGCCATGTCTGAGGGTCTGGAGGGTCCCTCCTCTCTGGGTGCTTGGCACGGCTCCCCTCACCCCTCCAGAATCCAGGCTGCAGGGGGCCATCCACCCCACAGTCTGGGATCTCACACCTGCCCGTGGGCCCAAGGCAGGCTGAGCAGGTGTGAGGCCTGTGTGGAGGTGGCCGAGTCCCCTGTTCCCCCCTCTGGCTTGTCCTGAGCCCCGCTGCCCTGTCTGGGAGAGGCCAGGAGGACATCTCCCAAGAGGACGCTGGCTGAGACGCTCCATTCTCGGCCAGGCTTTGCCTCGTTTGCCCTGGACAAGGGCACGTCCCTCTCTGTCCCAGGTCACAGTCATTCGAAAGCACAGAAGAGTTTCCATCTGCTCCGCTGCTTCTGTTTGCCTCTGAACTAACTGCGGCCCTGCTTTCTCGGTGACAGAGAACTTGTCATGTGACTGGGTGCTGTCCCTCATGCACACAGGGGAGCTATGGTGCTCTCCCCAAAATGAGGACCTGTCCCCAAAACTCTGGGGAGAGTTGCCTTTGGGTGGAAATGCTCTAACACTCTCCAAACTCTCCCCGGAAAGGCTTCCTCCCAGGGCACCAAGATGCCCGTTGCAAAGAAAGACGTCATGAGGCTGCTCTGCTCCATTTCCGACCAGAAGAAAATGACAGTGCCTGTCCAGCCCTCCAATAAGACTGCCAGGATGGCTGTAACTGGGGCGCTCATTGGTGCCTTCCTTGGTGGCCCACCGGGAATAGCTGTTGGTAAGTGCCAGTGCCTCCCAGGGGCAGCTGGGCTGGCAGCTATGGGACAAAGGTCTCAGGTACAAAGTCCTCAGAACAGGCTGCGTCCTGCATGAGGAGGGGTGGCATTGAGGTGGCCTCTGTGACATGATCTTTGTTACAAACCACGTCCTGGGAAACTCCTGCCTCTGTGTCTGGGTCTGTGACCTGCAGGTGTCTGGAAATGGCCCCCGTGTCCTGCAGACTCGAAGGACGCCCTGCCCAGGGATGTGTCCTGCACACTGAGACCTCAGGTTGCCCCTGGGGGGCCCCTCACCCATCATCACTATTACAGGTCCCCTCAGGAGGGGCAGCCACTGGAGCCCCTGCCATCTGTCAGTTCACGCGAGCTGGTCAGAGAGGGCGTCCCCGCTCCCAGTCAAACAGTCCAGGGCAGGAGGAGCTGCCAACCACCGCCCACAGCGTCACCTGCCCTCCTTTCACCGCCTGCTCCCACGTGGGACCAGGATCTGGCAGGCCAGGTCAGGGGCAGGGCCTCACAGAGCTCAATCCGGGGCCTCATGGAGCTCAATCCGGGGGATCCTTTAAAGATGCTGGGAGGTGACCCCTCTCGGCACAGGGGCTCCCCTTGCCAGGCTCACCAGCCAGGCTTCCTGGGCTGCTGTCCCTGGGGTGGCAGGATGGACACCCTAAAACATGTCATTGAGCTGGGGCCCCAGGGGGGAAAAGCAGCTTGTGGCCCCCCCAGACCTCCCCCCTCTGCATTTTCTTTCCACCCTGAGTCAGCCAGTCCCGACTGCTGCCACCAGAAGGTGGCAGGTGAGGGAGGCCACAGGCCACGCCCCCCCGCCTCACTGGTCCTGTCTGTGTCTGTCCCCCGCTCTGAAGTGCTCAGGGGAGGCCCAGCTGGCTCCACCTGCCCAGTGGCCATTCCCTGACGCCCGGTGGGGCCCGCCTCTGCCAGACTGAGTGGGAGCTGGTGGAGAACACAGGTCCGCAGGGCAGTGGCTGCCTGTCACCGAGGTCACAGGCGGGAGCCTCAGTTTCCCAGCAAACAAAGGAATTTCTCTTCTCCACAGGGTGGGTAGGTTGCTGGTCACTGTTCCTGTGACTCTTTGCATTAAGTGCTGTCCTCGGTCACAGACCGATGGTCCCACAGAGGTGGAGAGAGGAGGTGACAGCTCCTGAGAGTGGTTTGCGCCCTGCCCATGTTGCGGGGAGACGGGTGACACGTGCCAGTGATGGCTGTCCTCCTCAGGGGGCTCCTTCCTTCCAGGCGGAGGGCAGCCCGGCCCAGGGCAGCGTGCCTCCTCCTGGGTGGGGGCTGGCCCCTCCCCACTGGGCCGTGTGGGTGTGGGCGGTGGGGGGCTGGTCCCCGTGCCTCCTGAGGGGGTGCCCTCTGGCCCGGCTGTGTCCTCCAGAGAAACTTTACTTTGAAGAAACGTCCCTTTGTCAGAGGGACAGGGACGTTACAAAGATGGTGGACAGAAATCCCGTATCCCCCGTTTCAGCCCCGTGACGCTCATGACTAGGTGACAGGCACAGTGGTCAGAGCTGGAAGCCAGCGCTGTCCCCTTAGGAGTCACTGGTCTCTGGACTTGGCTTTATGGTGTGACCAGCTTTCGTATCACTGACCCTCTCCCGTCTCGGTGCCCTGCTCACGATACCATGTGGCATTTCATACCAGGTGTCTTTGGTCCCCAGGTCTGGTAGGATCCCTCAGATCTCTATGGCGTTCCTGGTCATGAGAGGGTGGCGGGGTGGTGGCCAGGTGCTCTGTGGATGCCGCTCCACCCAGGCGTGGCTGCTGCCTTCTCTCCTGACAGCCAAGGCTACGGGCCGTGGGCAGCACCCCACAGAGGGGAGTTCCCCGCCCAGGGCTCCGCGTCAGGGGCACAGACATCCCCAGCACCTGATGGTGAAGTTCACCTCAGTGACCAGGTCAGGACATGTTTGCCAGGTGTTCCCAGCATGACGTTGGTGCCATGTCACCTGTGCCCTGCTCTCTCAAACAGTGCCACTGCGTGCAGCTGGGCTGCCGTTCCCGTGGACATGGTTTCTGAACAGGGCCTGACTCACCGGCCTTCCTTGTCTTCCAGGCGGCGCCCTCGGGGGGCTCCTAGGGGTCGGGATGACGGAGGAGCCCTTTAAGCCTGTCTGCAAGATAGTCCTGCAGCTGTCCCACGTCCAGCAGCAGAAGCTGTTCAATGAAGTCAAGTCCGTCATCTGGAACCTGGACTGGATAGACAACGTGGAGCTCATGGCTCTGGTCATGCGCAGTGAGGGGATCCAGCAACAGCTGGCGGACATGCTGGTGGATTTCATCAAGACAGAGCTGAAGACCGATGTGCAGTTTGGTCCCCAGCCCCTCGGGGCCAGGCATCCCCAGGAGTAGTGGGGGCTGGGGTGCCCACAGCGCCCCAGGTCTTCTTAAACCCGCCCCGTCCATCCTTTTTACCTCATGGCACATGCAAGCAAGTCACTGAAATTCTGAATCACACTAGAAAATAAATCGTACCTTTGGCAGATAGTTTTCATTCATTCACACTGGACGTCTACCTTGTTCTGTCTTTTTTACATTTTTTTATTTGACCGTCTTTGAGAAAAGACCTCAGCGCCCCTGATTAACAGCCGCCTGAGAAGTGTGCACCCGAATGTTCCCACACACTGGCTGGGCCCTGCACTTAGAACAGCGCTGTCTCCACAGGTGACACACTTTCTGCACAGTCTCTCCCCCACAGTCCTGTTCAGCGTCTCTAACATCGGGAGTCGTCCCCTCTGAAAGGCGGGGGCAACGGGAATGGCACGTGGTCAGTGGCTTCCTTGAAGAAAGGTATTTATTTTTGGAGATGGGGGGGAGGCACCGAGAAAGAGGAAGAGAAACCCCGAGGTGAGAGAGAAACCTCCACCTGCTGCCTCCCGAATGTGTCCCAGATGGAGGCTCAACTCACATCCCGGGCGTGTACCCTGTCCAGGAACCGAACCCGGTGACCTCTGGGTTCAGTGCACAACCCCGAGCCCTGCAAAGGCCGTGACGCGTGGTCCTTGGGGTCCATCTCAGAGTGAACTTGCTGGGTACGAAGCGGCAGCATTTTTTAAGGCTGTGCTTTCATTGGGTCCAGGTTCCAGCAGCAGGGCTGCCCCTTCCTCTCCCCAGGACAGGGTGTGGCCTCTCAGTGTGCGGCACCCAGAAGCCGGCCATGGTCCTGCAGTGACTCCGGTGCCCGGGAGGGAGGGCGCTGCTGGGGATGAGGGTTCGGCTTCAGTTCAACCCTCTGTGGGAGCTTGGACACCGCTCCTGGGTCCCGGCCACTCTCTGGACACGGGGTTCAGCCTGGAGACACTGGGATGCGTGGAATGTGGAACCGGGGGGAGGGGCGTCTGTGGGCTGCCACTGACCTGGGTCAGCACGGGGCGGCTCTGGGTGTCGGTGGGGGTGACGCCACAGCCCACAGCTCCGTGTGGCCTCCTCGAACAGCGACACCCAGCACTTCCCAGGGCGCCAGTCTCTGCCCCTTCCCCGGGGGTGGGGGACAAGTATCTAAAAGCAGGAAAGGGGCCGACCGAGCACAGGGTGGCAGCAGCGAGCAGGTGACTGGGGTGGGGCAGGACCAGGTGGGCACCTGATTCTGTAGCCAAGCCTCACCTGCCCAGGTAAGCTCCGCCCACCTCCACGGGCCAGGCTGCTGGTGAATCCTGCTTCTTTCTCACACGCAGACACTCTCCGAGGTCCTACACCACACACGTCACTTGCAGAGTCCACAGAAAGGCATTAGATTTCCTCCCAAACACCCGTCGGCCCGGCCCTTTATCCACTTGGGTCTGAAGTCCAGACACCAGGCCCGCCCGAGGCAGACCCGGCCTGTCCTGTCGTCCGAAATGGGTCCACAGACGCTTGATGTCCTGCCACTGCCATGTGTTCTGTTTCTGACCATAAGTCAGAAAAGTGTGTCCCCGTCATCCCTCTGGAACTGATGCCGTTCTCGTGCCCAACGACAGACCCCCGCCTTTGCAAGGCTTCCCTCATACACAGGTGCCATAAACAGGTGGAGGGCAAATTTGTTTGTTTCAGCGGTTCATTCTTTCCACTGCTCTGACTTCTGTTCATTCTGTAGTTGGGGGGAGGAGAGGGTCTTACCAATTTACCTAATTTCCATGGCTCGCGCTTGTGTAAAAGTTCCCTCGGGAAATGGGGTTGAATGTGACGTCTGGGCTCTGCGGGGTCCCACCTGGCTGTCCCTCAGGGGCTCTGTGTGGTGCTCACAGAAGCCAGCGGGGTCTCTCAGGGGCAGCAGCCAGAGGGAGGACACCCTGGAAGCCCCACGGGGGCAAAACTTTCCTAAATGACGAGGTAGAAGGGCACGAGCCACAGCCCTGAAGGGAGTGGAGAAGGAAGGAGGGGTGGGGGGGAGGCAGGATGGAGGGAGAGAGGAAAGAGGAAGGAAGTGAGGAAGGAAGGAAGGAAAACAGGGAGGAAGGAAAAGACAAGGAAGGAAGGAAGGAAAGAAGGAAGGAAAAGAAAAATGAAAAGAAAAGAAACAAAGAAAAGGAAGGAAAAGAATGTCAATCACACCCGTGATGTTTGGGCAAATCGAAGTTGAGAGCCGGCCCGCCGGGCCGGTGGAAACTCTCGTGTTCGCGCGTCTTGTCTGTGGTCCTGATGGTGTTGCAGGGGAAGTAGACAGGCCCAGCTGGCGCAGGCGAGGGAGAGAAATGCTGAATTTTTAGCAGTTCAGGTTTATTTTTAGTTACTCAAGGGTATCTTTAGCTTCCCAGTAAATGAGTCCATCAGAAGGCTGTATGTGAAATATTCAGAACGTAAAAATTTGGAACAGAAATCTGAGGCCCCCGTCCCAACTGGGCAGTGCAGCTCCCTCCGCCTCCCCCCACCCCGGCCCGCACACGGGGGCCTCGGAGATGGTCCGGAAGGCATGGTCAACACTGGGCCTGGCTTCACGGGAAAGGGGGCAGAGTCTGGAGGGATCTCTGGACGCTGAGGTCCCAAGAGAGGCTCTGATCTTCGAGGCCCTGCCCAGCGAGGCCTTGAGGCTGAGGATCTGAGGGGACTCGCTTGCTGTCGGCCCAGCTCACCCTTTCATGCAGAGCGTCCATTCATCCCGGGCCCCAGACCACGGGCACAGCAGAGCTGACCAGCCCGCACCCATGTATTCCCGTCAGGCTGACAAACCCTTTGTAAAGACTTGACCGTCTGCACGTGCACTGGCCCCGTGCCAGCTCTGGGATGACACACTCTTTTCAAACCTCGCTCAGTATCTGACCTCACCTTGTCTTAGGGGAGATGACCAGACCTCTGGTGACAGGTTGGGACCACATGTGTCACCAGCCAGCGCGGTCGGGTGCTGGGGAGGCTGGAGCCCTTCCAAGTGTCCCTCACCCTTTCTTCCGAGACCCTGGGTCCAGGCACAGGGCTGGAGCTCCACGTGTCTCGGCTGAATGCTGAGTGACAGGCCCAGGAAGGCAGGCAGGGTGCGGAGTGGTGTCCTGCACCACAGGGGTGCAAACAGGGGCATGCGAAGGGCTGTGTGGGGCCCTGGCACAGGGGCCCCGGCTGCTGCCTGGCTGGAGGACCACCAATGCTCCTGGTGTCCCTTACTGATGGCCTGGGACAAGGCGGGGCGGTCTGCTGTGTCCCAGAGCCTCTTCCACCTTTCCTGCCATGGCCACTGCTGGGTTGCTCAGAGACCTGGCTCCTGAGCCTGGAGACTTCCTGGGCAACAAGGCGGCTGGCTTCCTGTCCCAGCGGACAGGGAACCAGGGACATGGCCCAAGCCCCCTGAGCAGCAGGAGTGTGAGGCTTGCAAGTGGACACAAACTTTGGTGTCAAAAAGCACAGCGAGCAGAGGCTGGCGGGGGGGGGGGAGGGGGCAGGGGGGAGGCAGTGGCTGGATGAGGCTCTCAATTCCCGGGCCTTCCCTGCCTGCGGAGTGTAGAAGTCCACCTCCAGGGCTGCACCTCGTGGGGCCATGGTGGCAGGGCCTCTTCACTTTCCAAAGACAAGTCCTAATGTCTGTATCTCTAGGTCTCTACCCATCCATCCATCCACCATCCACCTACCATCCATCTACCCATCCATCCATCCACCATCAATCCATTATGCATTTATCTATCAACACCATCTCTCTAATATCTGTCATACCGCCATATTTTATTCTGCTTCATTCCTGCACCGTCACCTGAATTACTGTCTGTATCTCTGCAGCCTCGTCTCTCAAGCAGGAAGCTTGTTCTGTGGCTCCTGCTGAGACCGGCGGTGAGAGCCAGCCGGTGCCTGTGCCGGGAGCCCCACCGACATCCGTGGAACAAAGGCACATAGAGGAAGGCTCGCTGCAGAGGTCGGCCTCGCTGAGGGTCCGGCCCATGGGACGCCGAACAGGACCCAGATACCCGCCTACACCTAGTCCTCACCTGCCCAGATGCTTTTCTGAAATTATTCCAGTTAAAAAAAATCTAGTTAACTGAGGTCTAAGCGTTGGTCAGGGAGGGGCAGTTTTCAGACTTATTTTCAGACTTCCGGCCAAGACGGAGGTGTAGGTAGACACACGGTACCTCCTCCCACAACCAGAAGGACAACAACAATTTCAAACAAAAAAATTAACCAGAACTGACAGAAAACTGAATTGTATGGAAGTCTGACAACCAAAAAGTTAAAGAAGAAACACTCATATGGACCTGTAGGAGGGCGGAGACGCTCAGCCGGGCAGAGAGGACTCGCGGGGGGGCGGTGGCTGGTGGTCCCACATTCCCACGAGGATGAACCGGGAGGAACAACTGGGGAGCAGGGCGGACTGCGAGCCCCAGGGCCCCAGTGCAGGGACATAAAGCCTCAAACCACCGACTGAAAACACCTGTGGGGGTTGAGGCAGTGGGAGGGACTCCCAGCCTCACAGGAGAGTCCAGGGGAGAGACCCACAGGGTCCTAGAACGTACACAGACCCACTCACCTGGGAATCAGCACCAGAAGGGCCCAGTTTGCTTGGGGGAAGTGGCAGAAGGGACTGAAATACGAGCGGCGCAAGCGCCCTTGCTCCCTCTCGGACCCCTCCCCCACGTATAGCGTCACAACGCAGCGACAGGGTCGCCACGCCCCACGAACACCTAAGGCTCCGCCCCTAACTACATAACAGGTGTGTCAAGACAAAAAAAAAAAAAAAGAATGGCCCACACAAAAGAATAGATCAAAGCTCCAGAAAAAATATGACTGAACGATGAAGAGATAGACAACCTATCAGATGCACGATTCAAAACACTGGTAATCAGGATGCTCACAGAATTGGTTGAATTTGGTCACAAATAAGATGTAAAAATGAAGGCTACGCTAAGTGAAATAAAGGAAAATGTACAGGGAACCAACAGTGATGGCAAGGAAACTGGGATTCAAATCAATGGTGTGGACCAGAAGAAAGAAAGAAACATCCAACCAGAAAAGAATGAAGGAACAAGAATTTTTAAAAAGTGAAGAGAGGCTTAGGAACCTCCAGGACATCTTTAAACGTTCCCACATCTGAACTATAGGGGTACCAGAAGGAGAAGAGGAAGAGCAACAAATTGAAAACTTATTTGAAAAAATAATGGAGAACTTCCCTAATCTGGTAAAGGAAATAGACTTCCAGGAAATCCAGGAAGCTCAGAGAGTCCCAAAGAAGTTGGACTCAAGGAGGAACACACTAAATCACATCATAATGACATTAGCCAAGATTAAAATGAAGGAGAGAATTCTAAAAGCAGCAAGAGATAAGCGTACAGTCACCTATAAAACAATTCCCATCAGACTGTCAGCTGATTTCTCAAAAGAGACCTTGCAGGCAAGAAGGGGCTGGAAAGAAGTATTCCAAGTCATGAAAGGCAAGGACCTACATCCAAGATTACTCTATCCAGTAAAGCTGTCATTTAGAATGGAAGGGCAGATAAAGTGCTTCCCAGATAAGGTCAAGTTGAAGGAGTTCATCATCACCAAGCCCTTATTATATGAAATGTGAAAGGGACTTATCTAAGAATATAAGATAAAAATATGAACAGTAAAATGACAATAAACTCACAGCTATTAACAACCACACCTAAAACGAAAACACAGACAAACTAAGCAAACAACTAGAACAGGAACAGAATCACAGAAATGCAGATCACATGGAGGGTTATCCGTGGAGAGGGGGTGAGGGGAGAGAGAGGAAAAGGTACAGAGAATAAGTAGTACAGACGGTAGGTACAAAATAGACAGGGGAGGGTAAGAATAGTATGGGAAATGTAGAAGCCAAAGAACTTATATGTACGACCCGTGGACATGAACTAAAGGGAGGGAATGTAGGTGGGAGGGGGTGTGCAGGGCGGAGGGGAATAAAGGGGGGAATGGGACAACTATAATAGCATAATCAGTAAAATATATTAAAAATTAAACAAAAATAAAATAAAACTTGTCTTCATCACAGTTGCCTAATTCTTTCATTTCCTGAGCCTTGGAGGAGAGGCCAGAGCTGCTCGGGTCCCCTCTGCCTTGACTGCTCCCCACAGCCGCCTCTGCTCCCCTGTCCCCCCAATGGAACGGGGCTCCTGCCCAGAGTCCACACCGTGCTCCTGGAAGAGCACACAGCATTCCTGGGGGAGGCCCCCTTTCTCCCCTTTGACCTCCCCCTTTGGGTGGGTCCACTGGTCATTCCACCCGGGGGGAGGGGAGGCCAGGCCCCGGGACCGGAGCTGGAGCCGTCCTGGGTGCTGGAGGCTTGAGCTGCGGCCACAGCGCCAGGAAGACGGCCCCATGGCCGGAGGCCCTGGGCCAAGCCGGCCCGAAGAAGGCCCAGGCCCAGGCCAGTCCTGACAGCCAGTGGACTTCGCCCTCAGCCCGCACTCTGTCCCCACAGACTCGCCTGCCAGCCCTGTGTTCTGTGGGGACGTCCTCACCTGTGGACACAGAGCTCAGGACGTCTGGCCGGCTGTCCCTCAGGGAGGAGACACCCCTGCTCCATGGACCTGTGGTGACTTTCGGTGCCTGGGGACTCCGATGGCCTTGGTCACATACCCACGGGGCCTTGCCAAACCCGGGACACGGCTGTGAGGCGTCCCGAGATCCACAGAGGTCCGCAGGGCAGGGAGCCTGGCAGTGGAAAGGGGTGCAGGGCCGGCGTGGGGGTGCAGGGAGGCTGGAAACCGGCTGAGCCCGCCCTTTCGTGCCGCGCTGACGAGCCCGCCAGGCCATCACACGGGCCGTGAGAGGCCGGGGGACCAGAGGCTGACAATCGGGCCGGCCGCTGCTGTGTCCATCGGCCTGAGAGCAGCGGGGGCAGCTTTGTGGGGCACAAGGCATCTCCACGCACCGTGGAGGGCAGAGGCCGGGCCCTCCGAGCTGCACACCTGTCTCTCATAAGAAGTGGCCTTTTCGGATGAAGCGAGGTGCCCAGCTCCGCAGGCATGTGTCTTCCACATGCCGTGCCCCCTTCTTTGGCCTTGTTCTGCCACAGGAGGCCCCCCGAGCAGTCTGACCACCCCGCTCGCCCCCTGGATGGGGCTATGTGCCCTGTCCTCGCAGCCTGGGGGGCCAGGGACACCCTGTGCCGGGGACTCTCAGCGGTGGGGGACAGGCAAGATGTCCCGGAAGTCCCCACGGACTTGAGCTGCCTGGCGTCACCTTGTCAGTGACCCGCCCACCTGGACCGCACACCCAGGCTGGTGCTGGCTTGTCCCTCTCCACCACCGTCCCTGGTTCCTGAGACCAACTTGCAAACGAGCTGCATCAGCTCCCATATTTCCCCCAGCCTCAGCTTAGGGAGAAGAGCCAGGTTACGCTGGTGTCTCCAGACCCAACTTCCCTGAAAAACACAGACGAGCGAGGTGTCTGCCCCTGTCTGCCCCAAAAGGGCACCAAGCATTTCAGATACATGGTGTCATTCCTGCAGACCTGGGTCCCGGAGCCTGTGGCGGGTCCTGGGATCCCATGCCATCACAGGGGACAGCCACAGAACAACAGCATCGGGGAAGACCTAACGAAGGCCGTGGGTGATTCCCAGGGGGCAGCGCTCACCAGGTGGGACGCTTCAATCGTTCAAACCGCAGAGCTCCGCTGGGACACGGTCCGGGATTCCCTGACCTCTAGCACCCCCTAGTGGTAGCTTCCGCACGCGCGTCCGGAGCGCGGCCGTCAAGACCGAAATTCCGCGCGTGGTGCTGGGGGCGGGGCGCGGGGAGGTTGCGGGGACCGCAGGGCCAGAGCGAAGTGGGCCCAGGAGCAGTTCCTCTCCCGGCTTGTGCTCCAGGGAGACGTCCTCGACAGGCGTTGGCAGGAGGAATCTGGGCCACCCGTGAGCCTGGAATAAAGCACCACGTTTCGGGCCTCGTGGGTCCTCCACCAAGTGACCGCAGAGCGAGTCGGGAACTGTCCACATGGCTCCTGCGGTAAAAGGCGCCGTTGCGGCGGACCAGGCTTTCGGCCGGGTGCGGTGGCGGCTCAGGCCCCCTCTGGCCCCGACGCCGGTGCACGCCCCGTGATTCGCGTGTGCGTGAGAAGACGCTATTTTGAGTGAAGTTTGGAAAGGAAAGTAATAAGGGCGAAATTTGTATTTGAAGTGATGGGAAGAATTAAAAAAATGAAAAAGGTGTGAACTGAGCACCAGACTCTGCCGAGGGTGAAAGAAGTTGTTTTATATTTCTGTCCGAGGTGTTGCAAATCACTCCAAAACGTCCTTTGAACGGCGCCCCTCAGCCCGCCTGTCCCGTTCCCTGCGTGGCTGTAGCGACACTGTCCCGGCCCACCTCCCCCAGAAGCCATCTTCTGGAGCGGGCGGCCTCCGAAAGCCGCCCCGGGCCTCCCGAGGCGTGGACCATCGGGGGACACGGCGTTGGGTCCTGCACCGACAGACCTGGAAGGAGGCTCACTCAAGATGGGCCTTTTCTCTGTCTTGTAGACAGGTCTGTGCTTCTGTAGGTGGAGAGAACGGAAGGCCGCAATGAAAGGCCCGGCTGGGCCCACCTCGGCCGGGGCTCTGAGGCCAGTGCATCAACCAAGAACAACCCCAGCCCCCACGTCCCCCCTCCACCCGGGGGGGGGGGGGTCTGCCATCCGAAATGGGATGGGACTTCATCAGACTGTGCATGAAGGTTCAAGTTCTCTGTTGTCACTCTGCTACTACTGACTTCTTAAATGAAGGTCACCAACTTCAGGGACTGCAGGTGCTCTGGAACTTTCTCCAGCAAAGGTCATAAAAGTTATGCAGTGCCAGGGACTGCATCATGCGCCCCCCAAATTCACGGGCTGAAGGCCTGCCTTCACTGCTCCCCTCGCACACGGGAAGGACGACACAGCAGCGTCCGCAGACCAGGAGAGAGGCCTCGGGGTGGGACCCGGCACCGTCAGCAGGCTGATCTCCACGCCCAGCCTCCGAAACCCCGACCAATCGTCGGTCGTCTGACCCCGAGATCCGTGGTTGTTGTTACGGCCACTGAGCAGACTGCTGCATGCAGATTCGGAGAGAACAATCCAGACTGACTTTTAAAAAGCTGTGTTTGCCACGTGCCAAAAACATGTGAACAAACACCAGGGGGCGGGCCCAGCCACAGGGTGCATGGAGCGAAGGAAACACTCTCGTTGGGCAAAGTCTCACAGACCCAAGTTCAACAGTGCCGCCCCCCCAAAACCCCAAAACAGCATCAAACTAAAAACTACTCAGGAGAAAGAATTTCCGGCCTAGGAGCAATTTGCAATGAAAACTTCGGAATCATAAAAGCGACTCTCCCATAATCTTCTGTAATAAAACATCCATTATACCGACATGGCAATAGAATAAAAGTGCCATTGTTCCTGAAACAGTGTTATAACGGAAACAGGATAATTATAGAAATACTTGCATGAGGATTACATGTTCGACAGAGCCTCTGAAAACGACTCTTCTCCGACTGTGGGTACGCCGAGCTCTTCAGGAAGACCTGCGATAGAAGACAGGGTGGGTTGTTTTTTTTTTTAATTTTTATAGCAGCCTAGCCTTTCGGAGCTCCTCGGGGCCCCCTGTCACCTGGCTCCGGGGCCCGCCCAGCTCTCAGCCCCACACTTCATTCAGAATCCTGGAATCTAAGATCAGGTGGCCCTGCCAACACCTTGGACTTCTGGTGTCCAGAACCCAGAGACAGTCTCGCTCTGTTTTACCCACTCAGTTTGTGGTGCCCTGCATACCTGGTACTTGCCCCAAGGTGTGCTGAACACATGACAGATGAAAGAGATGGCGTGTGTCCTGGTTGGGGCGGGTGCTGGGGACAACAGTGACAGGGACTCAGAGGCCCTTCGGAAGGGTGTTCTGGGCCCAGGACATGGGCTGGGAGCCTCTGCTGACCCCGGCCAGCCCTGGCTCTGTGGCTGCCTGGCTGCGAGCCTTGTTCAGGACGCCAGTATCCCTAAGTGCCATGCTACGGTGCCTCCTTAGAGGTAACGTAAAATAAAAAGCACGCTGGCCACGACCTCCCAGTTTTGGGGATGTCACGGAGTTTGCCCGAGTGCTGTGCGGTTGCAGGCATGCTGGCCCGTGCCTGGGATCACGCAGCCCGGGGCCTGGCCGTGTCCTTCCCCAGCAGTGGTGCCATGAGCCTCTGGGAAGCCGGTGGGGGTCGCTGGGCGGAGTTGCTGGCCTCAGGGTTCACGGAACCCAGCACTTGGGTGTGTGGGGTGGGGGTGGGGGCAGTGTTGGTCCAGCGGAAATGGGCTCACTGTGAGGGGGCACTGGGGTCCTGGCCCTGTGGGCGGGCGAGGATCCCCTCCGGGCTTCCGGGCCGCGGGTCACAGTCACGCCCTGCCCAGTGCGCGGGAGTCCTTTAGATTTCTGCACGTCTCAGAGCAGCCCCCCGACACACCTGGGGCGACGATCGTCATTCTCCAGCGGCGGGGACTGAGGCACCGAGAGACCCAATGGCCTTCCGCAGGCCCCCCAGGCAGGCCTCCCTCAGCACGGCGAGCACAAGGCGGCAGGGCCGTGTGCTGGGGACCCGGCCGCCACCAGGGTATGTGGTGTGAGGCGCCACGCTGTGGGGCTTCACTGTGTGCGTGCGCTTTGTGGCTTCAGAGCTCACCGGTGGAAGGTTTGTGTGACTGCTGACAGCCGACCTTCTCTAGAGGGCCTGGCCTTGACCTTCTCTAGAGGCCTGGACCTGGCCTCTGCCCCTCCTGCCTCTTCTGTCGGTCGGGCTCCCTGCCCCCGCCCCCGCCTCTGCCTTCTGTCTCTGGGAGGGAGGGAGCGGGCCTCTCTGTAATGTGCCACCAGGGGGAGCTGTCCGCCGAGGATCAGAGCCTCGCCCAGTCCTAGCCAGGGACACCCCTGGAGGTGGGTCAGCGTGCAGCCTTGACTGTCCCCCAAACTGCAGGTAAACGGGGGTGGGGGGCTGTCCCACCGCAGCAGGGCCGCCAAAGAAGGCCTAAGGCCCTCGTCACAGGGGGGCCAGGGAGACAGAAGAACAAGTGCTGACCAAGAATGCAAAGTTTCAAATACCAGCTTTGGAGACACACACAGCATCCTGCCCGCCGCTGATGCCACCATTTCCTGCACTGAACTCTCCTGGGGTCGGGGATGAATGAGTCTCACGTTCCGTGTGCTCACCACACACACCTGATGGCATAATAAAGGGGCAGGAGGACAGGGCCAGAGGAGACAGATGTCTCTGTGGCCTTGATGGTGGGGACGATTTCACAGGTGTGAACTTTCCCCACGACTGACCGGGCTGCGAACATCAAACACACACACAGCGTACAGTGTGCTGGCCCTACCTCAGGGCGGGGTTTAAAATTCTCTGCATGCGTTCTCTTTCCCAATCCTGCTGAATTTTTAAGAAGACAGAGGACTAGCAACGTTTGCATTTTTGTTTTTCGTCCTAGACCCTGGTGAGAGCTTGAACACTGCCCCGTTTTCGGGGTGGAGAGGTGTGGGCGCCTGCTGTGGCGGATGGAAAGCGGCCTCGTTCCAGCGGGGGGGGGGGGGGACACCTGTCTTTGGACTGATGGACGGTGCCAATAAATTGAAGTGTGGTTCAAAACAAAAAAAAAAAAACCAACCCCTCGTTGGTGTGGCTCAGTGCATTGAGCTCAGGCTGTGAACCACAGGGTCACCAGTTCAATTCCCAGTCAGGATACATCCCTGGGTTACAGGCCAGGTCCCCAGTAGGGGGCCCGTGACAGTCAACTACACACTGATGTTTCCTTCCCTCTCTTCCTCCCTTAACCCTCTCTAAAAATAAATTAATTAAATACAATGAATTCTCTCTATGCATATGCAGGGTGACCCTTCACAAGGGTGACACATCCCTAGAAGTACATTGTCCCACAGGCGGCTCGATGTGCAAATGTCACTGAGTACTGTTGCCCCTGGGCCACACACCAGTCCAGCAGGGCAGCGTGCGGGCCACCACAGGCAACCATACCACCAGGGGGCGTATCTGTGCATCTACGCACACAGGACTACAGAAAGACACATGAAAACTACCATAGAAAAGATTTAGGCAAGTGGGGGCCGGTCATGGGCAAGGGCTTAGAGCCAGCTGGGCCGGGGGGGTGGGCGGTGTCTGGACACTGACACTCTCCACCTGGGGCCTCGAGCTCCTCTCTGAGATAAAGGTGACAACCGACCCTGCCCCACAGGGTTGCTGCTGGGACTCCTGGGTGTTCCTGGAAAGCCCCGAAGGCTTCTGCAGACTCGAGATGGCTCCAGGCCAGCCCCTGTGTGTGTTGGGGGCTCCATGTGCCCCTCTAAACTACAGCAGATGCCCCCTCACCTGCGGGTCCACACCCAGAGATGGAAAGAGCCCTTTCCAGGGCTCAGCGAGGAGGCCTAACAGGCCCTGAGCCGAACAGGTGCAGGCGGCTCCTCCTGCCCTCAGTCCCCAAACAGGGGGAAGGAGTGGGGTTTGGTTCCTGCAGCCCTCACATTGGATTTGGATGGTCAGAGACACACAGCAGGGATCTGGGTGTCTGCTGGGTCCCGTGGCCCACAGTCCTCCAGCCCCTGGCAGCCTCCAGACCCCCAACATGAGCTTCGTCCTGGAAGCTACAAGGAAGCCTGCCCTTGACCTTCACACAGCAAATCCCGAAGCCAGAGGCCCAGGTGAACGCTGGGGAACAGCTGCTATTGGACACTGGCCTGTCCTGTCTCCAAACGCTAGCTCAGCCCTTCACATCCCAGGGCCCGGCACTCTCTCTGCCGGGCTACGGGAATGGGCCCTGGGCCTGAGGGTCCACGGGGCCAAAGGGACACAGGGACTCCTTCTGAACTAGGGGGGAGAGCAGGGGTGGCCTTGGGGAACCAGACTGTTTCAAAAGCTCCCTGGGGACCAGTCAGAGGGTTGCAGGCCCTGCCCCGGCTCCTCCCAAGAAGTGGATGGCCAGGGGCCCCAGAGAGGTGGCTCCATTATTGTGACACTGGTGTGTGGACGGTCGGGACCTGTGGGAGTGCAGAAATGTGCCCTACCCCTGGGGAAGGGGCGGGGCCGGCCCCTGCAGTCCCCAGCCATCAGACTCACACCCCATTCGGCAAACAGACACACCCACACCAGGCGCTCCCTTGCAGTTTCTGACCCACAGTGTCCACTCAGACTTGCCCAGTGCCCTGTGCCACGCACTCTCAGAGTCTGGCTGTCCCACTGAGCTCAGGACCCCCTGGGCTGGCTGTGAAAAGCAGAGGGTCCCTGGCCCGCCCACAACGGCCCAGTCTGCAGGACCTTCAGTGCTGCCTGTGCCCTGTGGGCAATGGCTGGTCCCAAGGATGGCAGGAGGGAGAGAGGGGGACAGGCAGGCTCTGAGCCCGGGTCCCCCAGCTCTCCCGGCAGCACAGGGCGTTGGGGAACCTGAGTGCAGATGGGGAAGGTGTGCAGAGCAGGTCTGAGAACTCACAGCTCCTTCCCAGGGCTCGGGGTCCTGGTACCTGAGACACTGGTGTGGACACTCCTTCTTCAAAAGACCCCATCTGACCAAAAGACTCTGGGCAGCACAGTCATCCCCCAAAGCCTCCCTCCACTCCCTCAGTGCCTGTCTGCAGGGGTCAGCCCTGCATGAAGGGGGCGGGGCAGCTGCAAGGGGAGGGGCCCCAACCCTGGCTCCAGCTGAAGGGGGAAGAGGATCCTCTGTGTCATTACTTCCCAGCGTGGCCAGGTGGGGGCGCTCCAACCGCAGGACCCTGGGCAGATCTGGCCCTGCCTGGTTAGCCCTGGCCCCTCCTACCATTTCCAGGCAGCTGGCTCCTGATTTCCCGGCAGCCAAGGAGCAGCAAGTAGTTTCCTGCCCCAGAGGGTCATTCTGACCACTGTCCCAGTCCAGTCCTGCTCCTGCTGCCCAGCCTCAGTTACGCTGGTGCCTGGGGCTGTCCAGTTCCTTGTGTTCTCTGGCTGTTCCATCCTCTGCCTCACCCAGTCCCGTGAGTACAAGTGGGTTGCCTTTCCACTGGTGGGTTTGGAGGCCACGGCTGGGGGGTCAGTGGCAGGATGCTGACCCAGAGCCACCATGTCTGAGGGTCTGGAGGGTCCCTCCTCTCTGGGTGCTTGGCACGGCTCCCCTCACCCCTCCAGAATCCAGGCTGCAGGGGGCCATCCACCCCACAGTCTGGGATCTCACAGCTGCCCGTGGGCCCAAGGCAGGCTGAGCAGGTGTGAGGCCTGTGTGGAGGTGGCCGAGTCCCCTGTTCCCCCCTCTGGCTTGTCCTGAGCCCCGCTGCCCTGTCTGGGAGAGGCCAGGAGGACATCTCCCAAGAGGACGCTGGCTGAGACGCTCCATTCTCGTCCAGGCTTTGCCTCGTTTGCCCTGGACAAGGGCCCGTCCCTCTCTGTCCCAGGTCACAGTCATTCGAAAGCACAGAAGAGTTTCCATCTGCTCTCCTGCTTTCTCGGGGACAGAGAACCTGTCACGTGACTGGGTGCTGCCCCTCACGCACACAGGGGAGCTACAGTACTCTCCCCAATGAGGACCTCTCCCCAAAAAGGCGACTCTCCCCAAACTCTGGGGAGAGTTGCCTTTGGGTGGAAATGCTCTAACACTCTCCAAACTCTCCCCAGAAAGGCTTCCTCCCAGGGTGCCAAGATGCCTGTCTCAGTGGACGATGTCATGAAGCTGCTCTGCTCCATTTCCAACAAGAAGGGATTAGAAGTGGTCACCAAGGGCCAATGGAGGGGTGTCATGCACGCTGGTATTTGCGCTGGGATTGGTGGGCTCTTGGCTGGCCCACCGGGAATAGCTGTTGGTAAGTGTCAGTGCCTCCCAGGGGCAGCCGGGCTGGCAGCTATGGGACAAAGGTCTCAGGTACAATGTCCTCAGAACAGGCTGCGTCCTGCATGAGGAGGGGTGGCATTGAGGTGGCCTCTGTGACATGAACTTTGTTACAAACCACGTCCTGGGAAACTCCTGCCTCTGTGTCTGGGTCTGTGACCTGCAGGTGTCTGGAAATGGCCCCCGTGTCCTGCAGACTCGAAGGACGCCCTGCCCAGGGATGTGTCCTGCACACTGAGACCTCAGGTTGCCCCTGGGGGGCCCCTCACCCATCATCACTATTACAGGTCCCCTCAGGAGGGGCAGCCACGGGGGCCCCTGCCATCTGTCAGTTCACGCGAGCTGGTCAGAGAGGGCGTCCCCGCTCCCAGTCAGACAGTCCAGGGCAGGAGGAGCTGCCAACCACCGCCCACAGCGTCACCTGCCCTCCTTTCACTGCCTGCTCCCACGTGGGACCAGAATCTGGCAGGCCGGGTCAGGGGCAGGGCCTCATGGTGACCCCTCTCAGCCCAGGGGCTCCCCTTGCCAGGCTCACCAGCCAGGCTTCCTGGGCTGCTGTCCCTGGGGTGGCAGGATGGACACCCTAAAACATGTCATTGAGCTGGGGCACCAGGGGGGGAAAAGCAGCTTGTGGCCCCCCCAGACCTCCCCCCTCTGCATTTTCTTTCCACCCTGAGTCAGCCAGTCCCGACTGCTGCCACCAGGAGGTGGCAGGTGAGGGAGGCCACAGGCCACGCCCCCCGCCTCACTGGTCCTGTCTGTGTCTGTCCCCCGCTCTGAAGTGCTCAGGGGAGGCCCGGCTGGCTCCACCTGCCCAGTGGCCATTCCCTGACGCCCTGTGGGGCCCGCCTCTGCCAGACTGAGTGGGAGCTGGTGGAGAACACAGGTCCGCAGGGCAGTGGCTGCCTGTCACCGAGGTCACAGGCGGGAGCCTCAGTTTCCCAGCAAACAAAGGAATTTCTCTTCTCCACAGGGTGGGTAGGTTGCTGGTCACTGTTCCTGTGACTCTTTGCATTAAGTGCTGTCCTCGGTCACAGACCGATGGTCCCACAGAGGTGGAGAGAGGAGGTGACAGCTCCTGAGAGTGGTTTGTGCCCTGCCCATGTTGTGGGGAGACGGGTGACACGTGCCAGTGATGGCTGTCCTCCTCAGGGGGCTCCTTCCTTCCAGGCGGAGGGCAGCCCGGCCCAGGGCAGCGTGCCTCCTCCTGGGTGGGGGCTGGCCCCTCCCCACTGGGCCGTGTGGGTGTGGGCGGTGGGGGGCTGGTCCCCGTGCCTCCTGAGGGGGTGCCCTCTGGCCCGGCTGCGTCCTTCAGAGAAAGTTTACTTTGAAGATGTCAGAGGGACAGGGACGTTACAAAGACGGTGGACAGAAATCCCGTATCCCCCGTTTCAGCCCCGTGACGCTCATGAGTAGGTGACAGGCGCAGGGGTCAGAGCTGGAAGCCAGCGCTGTCCCCTTACGAATCACTGGTCTCTGGACTTGACTTTATGGTGTGACCAGCTTTCGTATCACTGACCCTCTCCCATCCCAGGGTCCCACTCATTACACCATGTGGCAGTTGATACCATGTGTCCTTGGTCCCGAGGTCTGGTAGGATCCCTCTGTCCTCGCTGGCAGTACTGGCCATGAGAGGGTGGTGGGGTGGTGGCCGGGTGCTCTGTGGACGCCGCTCCACCTGGGCGTGGCTGCTGCCTTCTCTCCTGACAGCCAAGGCTACGGGCCGTGGGCAGCACCCGGCAGCACCCTGCCCAGGGCTCTGTGTCAGGGGCACGGACATTCCCAGCACTTTGTGGTGACATTTACCTCAGTCACTGGGCAGAGCGTGTTGCAGGGGTCCCCAGCATGACGTTGGTGCCATGTCACCTGTGCTCTGCTCTCTCAAACAGTGTCACTGCGTGCAGCTGGGCTGCCACTCCCAAGGACATCATTTCTGAACAGGGCCCCACCCACTAAGATTTCCTTGTCTTTCAGGGGGTGTCCTCGGGGGCCTGATGGGGGCCTGGATGTCCAAGGAGAAGAGGAGACCTGCATCTCAGGTCCTCAAGGAGCTGTCTGGTGCCCAGCAGATGAAGCTATTCAATAAAGTCAAGGCCATCATCTGCAACCTGGACTCCATGAACAACAAGCAGCTCACAGAGTGGGTCCTGAGCAGTGAGTCGCTTCAGCAGCAGCTGCTACACATGCTGAAGGATTTCTTTGAAAAGGAGCTTAAGATCCCAAGTGCAGTGCAGAAGTAATCCCTCGGGGCTGGGGTCCCCAGGAGTGGTGGGGGCTGGGGTCCCTACAGCGGCAAGTGTCGCCTGAAACCCTCGGTGCTCAACCTGCCTCACCTCACGGCACACACCAGCGCATCACTGAAATTCAGGGCACCCCGCAAAACGAATTGTACTTTTTGTTGATGTGATGAGCAAAATACGTATAGTTTTGATTCATTCACACCAGATGTCTACTGTAGTGTTGGCTGTTGTCATTTTTTTATTTGACCATCTGTAGGGTGTCACACTGATTGTCACCGGGGGGGTCACATCAGCCTCGAGGTGGCCTTCAAAGGGACGAATGTGACTTTAGGACTGTGTACATGTAATTACTGCCTAACTAGGAGCACGGAGCTCGGCGCTGCCGCCGGGCAGAAACGAGGTGGAGGCGGGTAAGACCAGGCGGTTTGGCCCGCGGGCCTTGTGTTTGCTGCCTGTGCTCTGAGGGAAGAGAAGTCAGTGCACCTGACTAATGACAGGTCAGGTGTCACATGCTGCTAATTCTCATGGTGCAGTCAGTGACATCGCCTCCCCGAAGCCCGGAGCCTGTATGGTTGGATGTTACCGATGTGGGTGTCCTGTGGCGTGGCCGCGTGGGGGAGGTTGTCTGAGCCCACTCTCCAGCCCTGGGGTCTGCAGGGAGGTGGCGGTGGGCAGCCGCTCATCCGTGAAGGTGACCTCTGACCTGGGCACGTGTAGCAGCACTGGGTGCCCCCCAGGCCCAGGGTCTCAGGACCTGGCAGCCGGCCCCACTGGAAGCATGGGGACCCCTGAGTGAGCCCCTGCCCCAGTCCCTTCCGAGGGGCTCCTGGGAGGGAAACGCTGAGGGCACCAGCTCCTCCCCCAGCCGCCCGGGCCTGCTGCCCCATCCGGTTCTGCTTTCTCAGTTCACTGGTGCAGCACGAGGTGCCGTTGCTCTTTCTGAAGGCATGGGGTCACACGCCACCTCTGAGAAGTGCACACCCCAACGTCTCCCACTCACTGGGCCCCTGCGCTTAGAACCATGCCCGCAGTGTCCTCAAATGTGCCAGCAAGCGGTTGGTGCCCTCTCTAAAAAAAACATATTATTTACTTATTTATAGAGAGGGGGAAGGGACGGAGAAAGAGGGAGAGAAACACAGACTCGTTCCCTTGTATAAGTGCCTCGCCTGGGGACCAAACCTGCTTCCCAGGCTTCTGCCGTGATTGGGAACCTAACCATGGACCATTCGCTTTGAAGATGGAGCCACACTCAGTGACCTCGCCACCCCCTGGCCAGGCCTTTGACACATGGTCTTTGGGGTCAGTCCCTCAAAGTGAAATTGCTGTGTACAAAGTGGCAGTAGTTTTTAAAATATGTTTTATTGATTAGGCTATTAGAGTTGTCTCATTTTTCCCTCCCCTTTAGTCCCCTCTGCCCTGCTCCCCACCTCCCACCAGCTCTCCCCGTAGTTCATGTCCATGGGTCGTACGTAGAAGTTCTTTGGCTTCTCCATTTTCTGTACTACCCTTACCCTCCCCCTGTCTATTCCGAACCTACCAATTATGTTTCCTGCTCCCTGTCCTGTCCCCCCCCCCCCCCCCCCCCCGCTGATAAGCCTCTCTGTGACCTCCATTTCTGTGGTTCTGTTCCTGTTGTAGTTATTGGCTTGGTTTATTTTTGTATTTGTTTTAGGTTCAGGTTCAGTTATTGATGGTTGTGAGTTTGTTGTCATTTTACTGTTCATAGTTTTTGATCTTCTTCTATTTCTTAGACAAGTCCCTTTAACAGTTCATATAATAAGGGCTTAGTGATGATGAGCTCCTTTAACTTGACCTCATCTGAGAAGCACTTTATCTGCCCTTCCATTCTAACTGATAACTTTTCTGGATAGAGTCGTCTTGGATGCAGGTTCTTGCCTTTTGTGACTTGGAATAATTCTTTCCAGCCCCTTCTTTCCTGCAAGGTTTCTTTTGAGAAATCACTGACAGTCTTATGGGAACTCCTTTGTAGGTAACTATCTCTTTTTCTCTTGCTGCTTTTAAGATTACCTTTGTCTTTAATCTTGGATAATGTAATTATGATGTACCTTGGTATGTGCTTCCTTGGGTCCAACTTCTTTGGGACTCTCTGAGCTTCCTGGACTTCCTGGAAGTCTATTTCCTTTACCAGATTGGGGAAGTTCTCCATTATGCTTTCAAGTAAGTTTTCAATTTGTTGCTCTTCCTCTTCTTCTCCTCCTCTGGCACCCCTACGATTTGGATGTTGGAATGTTTAAAGTTGTCCTGCAGGTTCCTAAGACTCTCATTTTAAAAAAATTCTTGTTTCTTCATTCCGTCATGGTCGAATGTTTATTTGTTCCTTCTGCTTCAAATCATTGAGTTGAATCCCAGTCTCCTCCTCTTCACTCTTGGTTCTTTGTATATTTTCATTTCACTTTGCATAGCCTTCACTTCTTCCTCTATGTCGCAACCATACTCAATCATTTCTGTGAGCATCTGATTACCAGTGTTTTGAACTATGCATCTGATAGGTTGGCTATGTCTTCATTGCTTAGTTGTATTTTTTCTGGAGCTTTGATCTGTTCTTTTATTTGGGCCATACTGTTTTTGTCCCGGAATGCCCGTTACATAGTAAGGGGTGGAGCCTTAGATATTTGCCAGGACGGGGCAATCCCTGTTCCTGAGTTAATGCACTGTATGTGGGGGAGGGGTCTGAGAGGGAACGGTGCCATTTGCTCGGGTCTCAGCTGGCTTTCAACCACTTCCCTGCTATCTGCTAGCAAACTGGGCCCTTCTGGCACTGATTCCCAGGTGGGTGGGTTTGTGTATGTTATAAAACCCTGTGGGTCTCTCCAATGAGCCTTCCTGTGAGGCTGGGAGTTTCTCCTGCCGCCGCAGCTCTCACGGAACCTTAGTCAGAGGTTTGCGGCTTCATTTCCCCGTTGGAACCCTGGGTTGTGTGGTCTGTCTAGCTCCCCACTTGTTCCTCCTGGTTTATCTATACACGAACGTGGGACCACCCGCTCCCGAAGCCACCCCTTAGTGCAGTTGGTGAGCCACCGCCTTGCCACGCATCCTCTCCGCCCTTCCTAAGGGTCTGGATGAGGGTTTCTTCTTTAACTCCTTGTTTGTTGGACTTCCACACAGTTTGATTTACTGGCAGTTCTGGTTATTTCTTGTTTTTAAATTTGTTGTGGTCGCTTCTTTTGGTTGTGCGAGGATGCGAACTGTACCTACCTGCGCACCCGTCTTGGCCGGAACTGGTGAAGTTGCTGTATTTTGAGGCTGTAGTTGTATTGAGTCTGGGCTCCTTCCCCAGGTGCATGGCTGCCCCTTTGTCTCCCTGCAATAAGGCCTCTCAGCGTATGGCACCCAGAAGCCGGCCATGGTCCTGCGGTGGCTCCGGTGCCCGGGAGGGAGGGCGCTGCTGGGGATGAGGGTTCGGCTTCAGTTCAACCCTCTGTGGGAGCTTGGACACCGCTCCTGGGTCCCGGCCACTCTCTGGACACGGGGTTCAGCCTGGAGACACTGGGATGCGTGGAATGTGGAACCGGGGGGAGGGGCGTCTGTGGGCTGCCACTGACCTGGGTCAGCACGGGCGGCTCTGGGTGTTGGCGGGGGTGACACCACAGCCCACAGCTCCGTGTGGCCTCCTCGAACAGCGACACCCAGCACTTCCCAGGGCACCAGTCTCTGCACCTGCTGGGCAGGGGCAGGCGGGCCAGGCGGGTGTGGGATTCCATATGAAGCTTCAGGAGTGGTGGGCAGGGCCAGGGTCCCCCCCCTCCCCGCCGGTCACCTGCCCAGGTAAGCTCCGCCCACCTCCACGGGCCAGGCTGCTGGTGAATCCTGCTTCTTTCTCACACGCAGACACTCTCCGAGGTCCTACACCACACAGGTCACTTGCAGAGTCCACAGAAAGGCATTAGATTTCCTCCCAAACGCCCGTCTGCCCGGCCCTTTATCCACTTGGGTCTGAAGTCCAGACACCAGGCCCGCCTGAGGCAGACCCGGCCTGTCCTGTCGTCCGAAATGGGTTCGCAGACGCTTGATGTCCTGCCACTGCCATGTGTTCTGTTTCCAACCACAAAGGTGGGGAAATCACGCTGCCTGGTCTCTAACGATCCTGCAAGGCCTTAATAATGAGACAGCCTCGTGCTGGAAGGAAAACAGGCGGACGGACAGACGGAACATGCTGGGGGACCCAGAAATCAACTCACACCTTTATTTCTTTCTATATTGGAAAAAAATAAGAGCTCAATAACATCCCCCAAATGTTTGGGCAAATTGAAGGTTGCTGTGGAAACTCCTGGGTGTCCCTGGAAAGCCCCCGAAGACTTCTGCAGACTCGAGATGGCTCCAGGCCAGCCCCTGTGTGTGTTGGGGGGTCCATGTGCCCCTCTAAACTACAGCGGATGCCCCCTCACCTGCGGGTCCACACCCAGAGATGGAAAGAGCCCTTTCCAGGGCTCAGCGAGGAGGCCTAACAGGCCCTGAGCCGAACAGGTGCAGGCGGCTCCTCCTGCCCTCAGTCCCCAAACAGGGGGAAGGAGTGGGGTTTGGTTCCTGCAGCCCTCACATTGGATTTGGATGGTCAGAGACACACAGCAGGGATCTGGGTGTCTGCTGGGTCCCGTGGCCCACAGTCCTCCAGCCCCTGGCAGCCTCCAGGCCCCCAACATGAGCTTTGTCTTGGAAGCTACAAGGAAGCCTGCCCTTGACCTTCACACCACACCCCCGAAATCAGAGGCCCAGGTGAACGCTGGGGAACAGCTGGATGCTGGCCTGTCCTGTCTCCAAACACTAGCTCAGTCCTTCACTTCCCAAGGCCCTGCACTGTCTCTGCGGGGCTAGGGGAGTGGGCCCTGGGCCTGGGGGTCCACGGGACCAAAGGGACACAGGGACTCCTTCTGAACTGGGGGGAGGGCAGGGGTGGCCTTGGGCAACCAGACTGTTCCAAAAGCTGCCTGCGGACCAGTCGGAGGGTTGCGGGCCCTGCCCCGGCTCCTCCCAAGAAGTGGATGGCCAGGGGCCCCAGAGAGGTGGCTCCATTATTGTGACATTGGTGTGTGGACGGTCGGGACCTGTGGGAGTGCAGAAATGTGCCCTACCCCTGGGGAAGGGGCGGGGCCGGCCCCTGCAGTCCCCAGCCATCAGACTCACACCCCATTCGGCAAACAGACACACCCACACCAGGCGCCCCCTTGCAGTTTCTGACCCGCAGTGTCCACTCAGACTTGCCCAGTGCCCTGTGCCACGCCCTCTCGGAGTCTGGCTGTCCCACTGAGCTCAGGACCCCCTGGGCTGGCTGTGAAAGGCAGAGGGTCCCTGGCCCGCCCACAACAGCCCAGTCTGCAGGACCTTCAGTGCTGCCTGTGCCCTGTGGGCAATGGCTGGTCCCAAGGATGGCAGGAGGGAGAGAGGGGGACAGGCAGGCTCTGAGCCCGGATCCCCCAGCTCTCCCAGCCGCACAGGGCGTTGGGGAACCTGAGTGCAGATGGGGAAGGTGTGCAGAGCAGGTCTGAGAACTCACAGCTCCTTCCCGGGGCTTGGGGTCCTGGTACCTGAGACACCGGTGTGGACACTCCTTCTTCAAAAGACCCCATCTGACCAAAAGACGCTGGGCAGCACAGTCATCCCCCAAAGCCTCCCTCCACTCCCTCAGTGCCTGTCTGCAGGGGTCAGCCCTGCATGAAGGGGGCGGGGTAGCTGCAAGGGGAGGGGCCCCAACCCTGGCTCCAGCTGAAGGTGGAAGAGGATCCTCTGTGTCATTACTTCCCAGCGTGGCCAGGTGGGGGCGCTCCAACCGCAGGACCCAGGGCAGATCTGGCCCTGCCAGGTTAGCCCTGGCCCCTCCTACCACTTCCAGGCAGCCGGCTCCTGATTTCCCGGCAGCCAAGGAGCAGCAAGTAGTTTCCTGCCCCAGAGGGTCATTCTGATCACTGTCCCAGTCCAGTCCTGCTCCTGCTGCCCAGCCTCAGTTACGCTGGTGCCTGGGGCTGTCCAGTTCCTTGTGTTCTCTGGCTGTTCCATCCTCTGCCTCACCCAGTCCCGTGAGTACAAGTGGGTTGCCTTTCCACTGGTGGGTTTGGAGGCCATGGCTGGGGGTCAGTGGCAGGATGCTGACCCAGAGCCGCCATGTCTGAGGGTCTGGGGGGTCCCTCCTCTCTGGGTGCTTGGCACGGCTCCCCTCACCCCTCCAGAATCCAGGCTGCAGGGGGCCATCCACCCCACAGTCTGGGATCTCACAGCTGCCCGTGGGCCCAAGGCAGGCTGGGCAGGTGTGAGGCCTGTGTGGAGGTGGCCGAGTCCCCTGTTCCCCCCTCTGGCTTGTCCTGAGCCCCGCTGCCCTGTCTGGGAGAGGCCAGGAGGACATCTCCCAAGAGGCGCTGTTTGAGACGCTCTGCACTCGGCCAGGCTTTGCCTCGTTTGCCCTGGACAAGAGCACGTCCCTCTCTGTCCCAGGTCACAGTCATTCGAAAGCACAGAAGAGTTTCCATCTGCTCCACTGCTTCTGTTTGCCTCTGAGCTAATTGCAGCCCTGCTGTCTCGGTGACAGAGAACTTGTCATGTGACTGGGTGCTGCCCCTCATGCACACAGGGAGCTACAGTACTCTCCCCCAAATGAGGACTGGTTCCCAAAACTCTGGGGAGAGTTGCCTTTGGGTGGAAATGCTCTAACACTCTCCAAACTCTCCCCAAAAGGCTTCCTCCCTGGGCACCAAGATGCCTGTCTCGGTGGACAAGGTCATGAAGCTGCTATGCTCCATTTCTGAGAACAAGAAAATGAGAGTGTCCTTCACTCACTCACTCAGGGGTGGCCTCATCACCATTGTTTGCGCTGGGATTGGTACCCTCTTTGCTGGCCCACCGGGACTAGCTGTTGGTAAGTGCCAGTGCCTCCCAGGGGCAGCCGGGCTGGCAGCTATGGGACAAAGGTCTCAGGTGCACACACTCCTCAGAGCAGGCTGCGTCCTGCATAAGGAGGGGTGGCATTGAGGTGGCCTCTGTGACATGATCTTTGTTACAAACCACGTCCTGGGAAACTCCTGCCTCTGTGTCTGGGTCTGTGACTGGCAGGTGTCTGGAAATGGCCCCCGTGTCCTGCAGACTCGAAGGACGCCCTGCCCAGGGATGTGTCCTGCACACTGAGACCTCAGGTTGCCCCTGGGGGGCCCCTCACCCATCATCACTATTACAGGTCCTCTCAGGAGGGGCAGCCACTGGGGCCCCTGCCATCTGTCAGTTCACGCGAGCTGGTCAGAGAGGGTGTCCCCGCTCCCAGTCAAACAGTCCAGGGCAGGAGGAGCTGCCAACCACCGCCCACAGCGTCACCTGCCCTCCTTTCACTGCCTGCTCCCAGGTGGGACCAGGATCTGCCAGTGGGTGAAGTTTGGCTGATGTCCCCAGTCCCTGGAGGGATGGTGCCCTTGCTTCTGCTGAACTAGGAACAGGGAGGTTTCCCAGGGGCCCAGCTGTGGGCTGTGATCTGCACCGTGTGGGGCAGCCAGCTGGGACCACTCGTGACTGTGCCCAGTCCTCATGAAGGGAATGATGTCCCAGCGAGCCCAAGGCCATTGTTTGTGAACTGGGCCGGACTCCCTTAACCTTCCTTGTCTTTTAGGGGGCGCCGTCGGGGGGCTCTTGGGGACCTGGATGTCGAGTGGGCAGTTCCAGCCTGTCCCCCAGATCCTGATGGAGCTGCCGCCCACTGAGCAGCAGAAGCTGTACAATGAGTTCATGGCCATTGTCAGGGACCTGGACTGGACGGACGTGGTACAGCTGATCGCACTGGTCACGGGCAGCGAGCCGCTGAAGGAGCGGCTGCTGGCCATGCTGGTCGACTACCTCACCAGGGAGCTGGGGGCCAAGGTGTGGTTCGGCGATTAGTCCCTCAGGGGCAGCAGCCAGAGGGAGGACACCCTAGAAGCCCCACGGGGACAAAACTTTCCTAAATGGCAAAGTAAAGGGGCACGAGCCACAGTACTGAAGGGAGTGGAGAAGGATGGAGGTGCGGGAGGGAGGCAGGAGGGAGGACTCAATAAAAACATCCCCCAAATGTTTGGGCAAATTGAAGGTCGCTGCTGAAACTCCTGGGTGTCCCTGGAAAGCCCCGAAGACTTCTGCAGACTCGAGATGGCTCCAGGCCAGCCCCTGTGTGTGTGTTGGGGGCTCCATGTGCCCCTCTAAACTACAGCGGATGCCCCCTCACCTGCGGGTCCACACCCAGAGATGGAAAGAGCCCTTTCCAGGGCTCAGCGAGGAGGCCTAACAGGCCCTGAGCCGAACAGGTGCAGGCGGCTCCTCCTGCCCTCAGTCCCCAAACAGGGGGAAGGAGTGGGGTTTGGTTCCTGCAGCCCTCACATTGGATTTGGATGGTCAGAGACACACAGCAGGGATCTGGGTGTCTGCTGGGTCCCGTGGCCCACAGTCCTCCAGCCCCTGGCAGCCTCCAGGCCTCCAACATGAGCTTCGTCCTGGAAGCTACGAGGAAGCCTGCCCTTGACCTTCACACAGCAACGCCCGAAGCCAGAGGCCCAGGTGAACGCTGGGGAACAGCTGCTATTGGACGCTGGCCTGTCCTGTCTCCAAACGCTCTCTCAGCCCTTCACATCCCAGGGCCCGGCACTCTCTCTGCTGGGCTACGGGAATGGGCCCTGGGCCTGAGGGTCCAGGGGGCCAAAGGGACACAGGGACTCCTTCTGAACTGGGGGGGAGGGCAGGGGTTGCCTTGAGTGACCGTACTGATCCGAACGCTTCAGCGAGGCCGGTCGGAGGAGCGCGCGCCCTGCCGGGATCCCCCCGCGAGCCCGGTGCCCCGGGTGCGGAGCGCGGTGCCGGTGCCCCAAGGACTCGGTCCCGCTGGGTCCCGCTGTGTGGCAACCGGAAAGTCCCTGCGCCGTGCCGGAAGATGGGAGGGCGGAGCTGGGGCTCTGGGCGCGGCCCGGACGGGGTCACCCTCCGGCGGCCAGGCGGGTGGCCCCAGTGACCCGCACACCACCGGGTACAGCGCGGCGTGGGAGGTCTGCGACAGGTGGGAGCCGGCGAGGCCGGGGCGGAAGGGGCGCGCGTCCCCGGCCGCGGAGACTGACCTGCACTTGCAGACGGACGGGGGGGGTGGTGGTGGTGGTGGTGGTATGGAGGGGTTCATTCATTTCCCGGAGGCACGCGTGGAGCGCGGGGCGCGCCCGCAGGAAGCGGAAGCGAGGTGGGGTGGGACGCCGCGGTCGCTGGACCGGCCCTGCCCCCAGCGCCCTGCGCTCTCCAGGTGCCTTTGCTGTCACCTCCCGCACCAGCCTGGGGTGCTGGGTGCCTGTGTCCCCGCGTCCTTCACTGACCTCTGTGCGTGTGCGGGGGAGGGGCGGTGTGGGCTCCCCCAGCAGACCCTCCGCAGTAGGCTGTGCGTCCCTCCGGCTGTAACAGGCCTGTGCGTGGGGGGAGGGTGACATGGGAGTAAGGCGGGTCCTAGTGGGGCCACGTGTGAGTCAGCACACCTCCCCCCCCAGGGGGAGGAGCCACAGGTGCTGCCGTAGAGAGGGTCAGGAAGGGCTGTCAACCACTTAGGAGGGGAGATGAGTTTTTTTTTGGGGGGGGGGTGGCAGTAAGCTTGCTTATCCTTTGAAAAGGCCCTTTGAGAGGTGGGAGGTGACCTGTCTGGAGGGCCGGATGCTTGGAGCCTGGTAGGGCCTGGGGCAGAGGAGGCAGGTCGAGGGGGGGAGGGCCCCCCCCAGGCCTTCAAACGTTTCCCTGATTCTGAAGTCCCAGCGACTGGGAGCCTCCAAAGTGAGGGCCTTTTGCAGTGAGAGCAGCAAGCGTTGCTCTGAATCAGCCAGAAGCCCCCGGCAGGAGGCTGGGATCAGGTGGAAGACTCAGTGTCCTGGTTAGAGACAGAGGTGAGGGGTGTTTGGGAGGCAGGCAGGGAACAGCGCCACCTACAGAAGGAAGGTCTGTCTCTGCGTGCGGATAGGCTGTCGGGGTGACGCTGATTCTAAACGCTCTGACACTCTCTCGAAACTCCCCCTGCAAGGCTTCCTCCCAGGCCACCGAGATGCCCATTGCGATGAGAGACGTCATGAGGCTGCTCTGCTCCATTTCAGAAGAGAGGAAAATGAAAGCAGCCGTCAAACACTCAGGGAGGGGCGCCGTGGTCACCGGTGCCGTGGCCTTCGTCGGTGGCTTGCTGGGTGGCCCCCCAGGACTAGCTGTTGGTAAGAGCAAGTGCCTCACAGGGGCAGCCGGCTGGTCCCCCCCACGCTCATGACTAGGTGACAGGCACAGCGGTCCGAGCTGGAAGCCGGCGCTGTCCCCTTACGAGTCACTCGTCTCTGGACTTGGCTTTGTGGTGTGACCAGCTTTCGCATCACTGACCCTCTCCCGTCCTGGGGTCCCGCTCACGCTGCCACGAGGCATTTGACTCCACGAGGCATTTGACACCACGCCTCTGGGCCACGCTGAAAGCAGAGTTGCCTTGGGCCTCACATTAGATCCATGGCAACACGTAATCACACACACACAAAAACCCATCGTGCTTAAGGAAATGTATGATTTTGTGTTGGGCCACATTCAAAGCTGTCCTGGGCTGCATGGGGCCTGCGGTCCTCGGGTGGGACACTCCCGGTACAGCATCACCTGCCCTTGTTTTACTTCCACTGGGAACCAGTTTGTGGCACTGGGTGAAGTTTGGCCGATTTTCCCCTGGTCCCTGGAGGGAGGGAGGGACTCCACCCTGGGGGGGGGTGATGTTCCTTCCTCTGGACGAGGAATGGGGAGATTTCCCCGGGGGCCCAGCCACGGGCTGGGAGCAGCACTGTGGGGGACAGCCGGCTGGGACCGCTCTCGTGAATGTGCCTGCTCGTCGTGACAGGGACGCCCTCTCGGCGAGCCCAAGGCCATCGTTCGTGAACTGGGCCGGACTCACTTAACCTTCCTTGTCTTTTAGGGGGCGCCGTCGGGGGGCTCTTAGGGGCCTGGATGACGAGTGGGCAGTTCCAGCCTGTCCCCCAGATCCTAATGGAGCTGCCGCCCACTGAGCAGCAGAAGCTGCTCAGTGAGTTCATGGCCATCGTCAGGGACCTGGACGGGACGGACGCGGTACAGCTGATCGCACTGGTCATGGGCAGCGAGGCGCTGAAGGAGCGGCTGCTGGCCATGCTGGTGGGCTACGTCACCAAGGAGCTGGGGGCCGAGGTGCGGTACGGCGATTAGCCCCTCAGGACATGGGGTGTTGCAGGGGGTTCTTGGGGGCTGGGGTGCCCGGCCCCACCCCACCCTGTGTTACCTTCAGCTGCTGCGAGCCTCCTGCAGGGGGCACTCGGCTGTGCAGGATCCTGGTTGGACATTAGGGATGAGGAAGTCCTGTGGCGTCACCGAATGGGGGCTGTTTTGTGAGCCCACCCTCCTGCCCTGGGGTCTGGAGGGAGGTGGCAGTGGGCAGCCACTCATCTGTGAAGGTGACCTCTGACCCAGGCACGTGTAGCAGCACTGCGTGCCCCCCAGGCCCCGGGTCTCGGGACCTGGCAGCCGGCCCCCACTGGAAGCATGGGGACCCCCTGAGTGAGCCCCTCCCCCAGTCCCTTCCTAGGGGCTCCTGGGAGGGAAACGCCAAGGGCACCAGCCCCTCTCCCAGCCGCCCGGGCCTGCTGCCCCATCCGGTTCTGCTTTCTCAGTTCACTGGTGCAGCACGAGGTGCCGTTGCTCTTTCTTTCTGAAGATGTCGGGTCACACACCACCTCTGAGAAGTGTACACCCGAACGTTCCCACTCACTGGGCCCCTGTGCTTAGAACCACGACAGTACTGTCCTCAAGTGCGACACACTTTCTACACAGTCCCTCTCCCCATGACTCCTGTTCAGCGTCCCTAACACAGGAGTCGTCCCCTCCCGCAGGTGGGCAGGCAGTCGGTGGCTCCTGATCCCCGCCGACCCCTGCCTTTCCCAGCGGCGGCTTCCCCGCGGGTGGGAGAGAGGGGTCGGATCCTGGCATCTCCACGTGTTGCATGGAGGACACTGGACCCCTGTGGAGCTTCAGGACGGGGTGGAGCCCGCATCTCAGAGAGAAGCTGCCCCGCAGCCGCCTCGCCCCGCACGGCTGCGGTCCCTGGACTGAGGGCTGCCTCCATCATTTCTGTGCCGTTTTGGGGCTGGGCAGGGGGTCCCTAGAGAACTCCCCTGACTCACAGGAGGTGACCGGGAGTTACTCACGTGCTGAGTCACACTGTGCAGGTCCCAGGGCTCGTGGGGTCCCAGCTCAGAGGTCCCACAGCCGTGACCACTGAAGCCCTTCCATGACCACCCTGCCCGCCCCCCCCCTCCAGGAAGGCAGCCCAGGGAGGCAGTGACCCCACACCTGACCGATCTGGGCTGGACGTAGCTGGCCTTGCTGAGTGCGTCCCCCTTGACTAGCTGGGTCTGGTGGCTCGCAGTGGGCTGTGGCCCCAGGAGCCACCGAGACCTGGGCCCCTGCTCCCTCGGGGGCTGAAGGTGCTTCCCTGGCTCTTCCCTCAGCTGTTAGTGTTTGTGTTTCAGTATTTCCATGTAAAAGTATCTTTTTTCTTTAAAAAATTATATTTATTGATTAGGCTATTACAGTTGTCCTGAATTTCCCCCCTCAGCCCCCCTCCGCCCAGCACCCCCACTCCCTGGGGCAGTCCCCCCACATTGTTCACGTCCATCATGCATGTTTCGGCCTCTCCATTTCCTACGCGGTACTTCACATCCCCACGGCCATCCCGTAACCACCTACTTGTGCTTCTTGGTCCCCACCCCCCCTCCCATCTCTATTTGTAACTTCTGGCGGTTCCATTATGATGTGCCTTGACGTGGGACTCTTTGCATCAGTCTTGTTGGGGACTTTCTGTGCTTCCTGGACTTGCATGTCTATTTCTTTCACCAAATTACAGCAGTTTTCTTTCATTATTTTTTCAAATTTCCAGTTTTGTTGCTCTTCCTCTTCTCTTTCTGGCACCCCTGCGAGGCGGACGTTGGACCCCCTGCCGTTGTCCCAGAGGCTGCTGACACTGTCCTCATTCTCATGGGTCCCTCTTCCTTCTTGTTTTTCAGATTGCTGTGTTTTTTCCTTCCTTATGTTTCAAATCATGGATTTCTCGGCTCCATCCACTCTGCTGTTGTTTCCTTGTAAATTGTCCTTTATCTTAACTAGTGTATCCTTGGTTTCTGACTGCGTCTTTTTTATGCTGCTTAGGTCCTCACTGAGTTCCTTGAGCACCTTCATAACCAGCGTTTTGAACTCTGCATCTGTTAGGTCTTTTATCTGCATTTCATTTAGCTGTTTTTCTGGAGTTTTGATCTGTCCTTTCATTTGAGCCATGTTTCTTTGTCTCCTCGTTTTGGCAGCCTCCCTGTGTTTGTTTCTATGTATTAGGTAGAGCTGCTTTGACTCCGTGTCTTGGTAGTGTGGCCTAATGTAGTAGGTGCCCTGTAGGGTCCAGGGGCACAGCCTCCCCTTCGTGTGGGCTGAGCACACCCTCCTCTTGTAGTTGAGCCTTCGTTGCTATCGGCAGGTCGATGGGAGGGACTTACCCAGGCCCGTCAGCTGCAAGGACTGGCTGTGACCACTGACCACCAACCTCCGCCCTCCATGGAGGATCAGCTGTGCAGGGGCAGGGTGGTGGTGCTCTGACGTGGTCTGTAGCTGTCCACTGGGTGCACTGGCCCTGGAGTTTCCCAGGTGGTGCAGGCCAAGGTCAGCCCCCACCTGTGCTTTGCTGGGGCCACCCTGCCTGAGCTGTAAAGCAGTCTGAGGAGGCTGCTACTTGTGCTGGGCTTGGGGATTCCCAGGCAAAGCCAAGCTGTGAATCTAGGCTGCTAGTTCCTGGCTTGGGGGGCTCTCTGAGGCCAGCTGTGCCTGTTTGATAGGATTTAGGAAGTTGTGAAGCAGGAGCGAAGACCAGCCATTCCTATGGAAAAGCAGCTTGGGAGGGTCCTTCAGCTGAGTGGGGCGGAGTCTCTGGGGATCTCCGAGGCAGGTCAAACAGTTTTCGCCAGGGTGATGGAGTCTCAGAAATGGTGCCCGCTTGCCAGCTCTGTGGAGGGAGGATTTAGAAAAGGGAGGAAAGCCTCTGTTCTCCTCGATGCCAGACACTCCAGTTCCTCCCTTTGTGCCACTGGTGCCCTTCAAGCAGCTGCCCCAGTGCTGGAGCCCAGAGGGAGTGAGTCTGAGCAGGTGAGTCCGTGTGTGGGTTCTTCAAGAGGAACTGCTTGGGGCTCCAGCAGCTTCTTCCACCAACTCAATCCCTGCTGGTTTTTGCAGCCCAAGGTTGTGGGGACTTATCTTCCTGGCACTGGAGCCCTGGGCTGGGGGGCCTGGTGTGGGGCTGGGACTCCTTGATCCTGAGATGTCCCTCCCGAATTTTTATCCACCACATGTGGGTGAGGGACCAGTCTGCACCCCTCCTGTCAGTCCGGATGGACGTGGTTTCCTTAATTCTGTAGTCAGACTTCCATTCAGCTCAGTTTCTCTCGGTTCTGAACGATGGTGGTTCTATATTTTAGTTGTAACTATGTTGCAGTTGTGCCAGGAGGTGAGCCATGTCTGCCTACGCCACCATCTTGCCTGGAAGTCAAAAAACCTTCATTGATGTGTTTTTGATGAGTCCACACCTGCCCGTTAGAAAATCAGGTACAGAGGTAAAAGGCTCCTCTCCCGCTGACCCTGCCCCGGTTCCTCCCCGGACTTGGGCCTCTTAGCCGTGTCTCCTGCAGACTGCTTTCAACAAGCTTTGGAGAGGGAGTCATTTCCTTTTATTCGTCAGTGTCACCGCTGAAAACTCAGATAAATCCAGCAGAGTGTAATAACAGAAAAACGGCTACAAATTCCACCACTGAGATCACCACAGTTAAACTTGGCATCTTTCATGCACATCTTTAACGCCATGTGTATCGTCTTTGCATTCTTGCTGGTCAGGCCTCTTTGCAGCCTTTCCCAGATTCCCCCTAGTGACGGAACTTAGCGTTCCTGCAGTTGGGAGGGCTGCAACCTTGTTGCCCCGCCTTTGGAGGGCGTTACTATCGGAATGCGCATGCGTAGTTCGATTGGCTTCTGACAGATTGTCTTTAAGGCTCAGTCCCTCAGAGTGAAAGTGAAACTGCTGGGTTAAGAAGTTGCACTATATATTTTTTGAAGATTTTATTTATTTTTAAAGAGGTGACGGAGGGAGAAAGAAGAGAAGGACATCAGTGTGGGGCTGTCTCTCACACGCCCCCTACTGGGGACCTGGCCCACAACCCAGGCATGTGCCCTAACTGGGTATTGAACCTATTGAACCGGGGACCCTTTGGTTTGCAGGCTGGCACTCAGTTCACTGAGCCGCGCCAGCCAGGGCAGAAGTTGCACATTTTTTTAAGGCTGTAGGTTTATTGGGTCGATTCCTTCCGAGAGGGCTGTCCATTGGTCTCTCAGTGACAGGGTTTGGGGCCTCTCTGCGCACCCCCGCTCTCAGAAGTAGGATGAGAGGGCCTTGACCCTTTCTCAATGTGATGAGTTTCGGTTCGGGAGGAGGGAAGCCTTCGTCAGCCTGTTCTTCCTCGGCTTCGTGTGAGCCTCTCTCCCACAGCAGTTCCCGGGACCCAGTTTGCCAGACGCCTTCTTTCTCTCCCGGCTGGACTCCTGGCCCCCACCCCTGACCCAGGCAGGAGAGGAACAGTTGCTGGAATCACGCCAGCACTTGCTAGAACCTCTTTCCCCGAGGCCTGGGCTGTAGCGGCTGGTCCCAGGGAGCGGAGTTCGAGCAGAGGCATTCAGTGACAGTGGCGGGGAGGGGAGGGGGGAGCTGGTGACAGGCACGTGGGGCTCAAACACGCGTGGTCACGCCCTGCTGTCCCCTGGTGCGAAACAACACAAAAACACATGTTGGCCTTTGCCCCTGGTTCCTGGCACAGAGCCCCTCAACCCTTGGAGTTCCCTGGGTGGCAAGAGTGTCCTTTGTCCTAACGAGGCCACACCTTGCATGTACCAGGAGGACTAGGCCACCAGCAGGAGCTCAAAGCTTTCCATGGCACCCGGTCCTCCAGAAACAAAGGGCGGCTGGAGCCTGGGCGGTGGCCAGTCAGGCCGAGGGGAAGTGTTCACCAGGCAGAGACTCGGGCGCCCACCTGCACTGAACCCGCAGGAACAAAGGCAGGCAGGGCCCCTCCGTGGCCCCTTACGGGGGTGGGGTGCCAGCTGGGGTGCCAATTTGTTGGCTGGAAAGAATGTAGTTTGATGGTCCCTGTGACTTTTTTTCTTTAAATCAACCTCCCAAAAGCCTGTCTTCGTGGAGGGGGATGTGTCTGTGTGTCTGTGTACAGGTGTGTGCATGCATGTGTCCACATGTCTTTGCACAGGTGTGTACACGTGTGGTGTGTCTGTGTACAGATGTGTGCATGTGTCTTTGCACATGTGGGGTGTGTGTGTGCATCGTTTCCCCACAGCCCTGTGAGTCCTGGGTTCCACTGTCTACACTCATCTTTGCAGACCCTCTGCCGTGTGCAGGTCCCTCCCAGATGTCACCTTGCATTTGCTTCCTTGCTGACGAGAACGGCCCCGCGCTCCTGGCAGGACCCCAATGCGGACGCTCCAGGGACTGAAATTTCCCCTTGTTTTTGCCCAGAAGTGTCTGGCTCTCCCTCCCAGCTGGCCTTTCTGTGGTCAGCACTGGAACGGCCCAGAACCGCCTGGGCTCCTCGAGGTGCTGGGCGGAGCCAGCAGGGGACAGAGGCCAGCTTGGAAGAGAAGCTTCCGTGAGGTGGCCGGGGCTGCAGGGTGGGGGGCGGGGGTGGAGCAGGACCTAGGCTGACCCTTGCCCCCGGGCCGGAAGGGGTCGGAGGGCTCTCCCGGGCAGCTCCTCCCCTCCCTGGCCCCCAGCTCCCGCCCACTCGCCGCGGTCTCGGTTCCTTCCAGGGCACATGCCCGGTCCCAGGGCACACGTCCCGCTTCCTGGAGCAGCTCTGCTGTCCCGGAACATTTCCCAGAACAGCTGGGGCAGTCCCGTGGGAGCAGCCAAGGACGGCCAAGGCTTGCAGTCCACCACCCGCTGCCTCGGGGTCCGTGGGGGCCCCTGCCTCAGCCCCAGCAGGCCCGACGGGTGCTGTGTGACAGGCCCCCACCAGGGCCGCCCCTGGACACACGGGCCCCTCGGGGCTGCTGCTGCCTGGAAGGGCCCGCCCCCCACCCGTCACCCTCAATGCCTTCACCACAGCACACACCGGGACAAATGCCAGCGCTCTGTGCCCACCTGTCCCCACGAGGCTGTCTGCTCCTGCAGGGCTGGGACCAAGTGTGTCTTGCTCACGGCTGTGTCCCCAGGTCCTGGCACAGCAAGGGCAGCCCCACGGGCCCTTGGTCCTTCCCTGACACCTGGGAGCTCAGGGAAGCAGCAGCCCTGCTGGGGACAAGGGACACAGGTCTCAGGGTCCCCAGTGGGGGATGGGGCAGCGTGCCGGCCCACTGGGCCCTATACTCTGTGGTCCCTGGCGGGCACTTGCAGAGAAGCCTGGGACCAGCTGTGGCACAGGCCCCTCTGCTGCCCTGGGCCAGGCAAGGGGGGTCTGGGGAGTGGGCGGGGCCCAGGAGGCCAGTGGCCGGAACCGGGCGGCCTTTGCCCCAGCACCATCCCTGAGGTGCAGGGAGGGACCGCCGGCCCTGGTGTCTGTGAAGGCGCCCGGCTCTCCTGAGGACGCTGCCCCTCGGCCTGTGACCTGTCCCCCCTGAGCCCTGTGCCCAGGCAGAAGCGGCTTGGACCAGTCTGTGTGGACCAGAGAGGCCCAGGCTGGTAAACAAGCCGGTCATTGCTGGCCGCCTCTGCCCCTGCTCGGAGGGAGGCCTCAGGCAGGCCCGGGGGCTGGCTCTTCACCCCTGCCACCCCTCCTCCTCGGGGCAGCTCCCTGTCAACAGCAGGCTGGAGCCTTGCTGACCCAGGAACCAGACCCGGCCCAAAGTCGCTCCTGCCAGCCGGCAGCGATCCTGCTCTGTCTGCCACAGTGGGCGCTGGCCAAGGCCAGCTGGGCAGAAGGGCAAGGACTGCAGAAGCAAATGCCAGGGATTGTCACAAAGGGCCCGTGACGACGGCATTCCAGGTCTGGCCCTAACACACTGGGGGCTCCCCCACGCCACAGCGCCAACCCCCAGGGCGGCCGGGCGCAGCCAGACACACGGCCCCTCACTTCCTGTACTCGCTGTCCACCTGCTCAGAGAACTCACAGCCAGTCAGCAGGGCCCGGGGTCAGGCCGCACGGTGCCCACGGTGCGTGGGCATGGGGGACAGCTGCTGGCCGTGGTCCCTGCGCAGTGTCAGCCCCGGAGCGAGGAGTGTCTGACGGGCACCTGGACTTTCCGGCCACACCAGTCAGCAGGCCTTCTCTTTATTATGGAGTCTGTCTGCGTGAGGTCTCTGTTACCCGGAATGAAAGTGTCCCCGCTGCTCCCCTGGCCACGGGGCAAGGGGAGGCCTGAGAGAGGGACCCGCCCCCTGGACACATGGAAACAGGTGAGGTGGGGTGAGAGGCCTGGGCAGGCTGGGGTCCCCAGCCCGCAGTGCCCACCGTGTGGCAGGCTCTGGCTGGCTCCGGGTGAGCCCATCTGCACAGCAGACCAGGCGGGTGAGCATCCGAGGCGGGTGGACGAGCCCAGGTCTCCCAGAGGCCTCCCATGAGCCACACCGTCCCCTGGGGGTGTCCTCATCTGGGGTCACGTGCTGTGGTTCAAGGCCTCAGAGAGAAGAGGACCTCACTCAGCCCCTGTCCTCCTTCTGGTCCCTCAAGGTGCCTGGGTCGTGCTGACTCAAGGGGCTGCCGCTCACAGGGCTGGGACGAGGCCTTTGTCCCCAAGAAGCCTCTGAGATCGGGCCTGCTGAACAGACAGTTCCCGAAGTGCAAGTGGAAAGATGCCCATGTCCAGAAAAGAGCCACTGGGGGGGTCCCCAGAGGGTGAGAGTCAGTCCTGCCGCACCCACCACCGGCGGGGTCAGGTCCTGGGCGGCGGAGTGCTGGGGAGCGTGGGGACTGTGCCTTCTACGGAGCCCCAGAGGCAGCAGAGTCTGCGTGATGGGGGAGCGAGCAGGGAGCTGCCCCTTGGCCTGAGGCCGGGGTCAGCTGTGGAAGGAGGACCAGGAGACGCCGGAGTCGTAGAACCTCACACGGCTGGGCCAGTCGCCGTCCCCGCTGCCCTCCCTGTCCTCGTCCAAGTCCTCGTCATCTCCACTGGACGCTCCACAGCCGGCCCTGGCCGGGGACCCCGCGCTCTGGCCCTCCTCCTCCTCCTCTCTGCGCTTCTGGGCGGCCAGCTCGCGGTAGCAGAGGCTGCAGACGCGCAGGGGCTTGGGCGACAGGCGCGGCAGCAGGAAGCGTGCGCGGGAGCACTCGGCGCAGACCACGAAGCCGCACTGGCGGCAGTGGTGGCGCCGCGTGAGCGCCGAGAAGCGCGTCTGCGTGCAGCGCATGCAGATGTCGGTGGCCTTGTCCGGGATCCAGGGCGCCGCGTGCTCCGTGCTGGGCGCGCGGCCGGTGGCGAGCAGCTGCCGCCGCACGCACTCCTCGATGTGGCTGACCCACTCCTGGCGCTCCGTGGCCGAGGCGGCCGACACCACGAAGGACTTCTTGGCCGTCCGGATCATCCAGCGGTTCTTGGCCTGCAGGGTCTCGGGCAGCGGCTCCAGCGTCACCTCCTCCAGCGGGATGATGTGCTGGCTGCGGTACTTGCGCTTGCTGAGCACGATGCTGCCGTAGACCAGGATGTCGCTGAACAGGAAGAAGATGCGCGGCTTGGCCTTCTTGCGGCACTCCTTGGTCAGCACGCCCTCGCCCAGCAGCACGCGGCCCGGCAGCGCCAGCGGCTGCCCCGACGCCCCGAAGCAGCTCTCCACCTCGGCGATGCGCTGGCTATTGATCTCGGTGTTGGCCAGGTGCTCCACCATCTTCTCCGGCGGCTGCAGAGGGGCGCACGCAGGCGTGGGCGTGGTGCGGTGGCCGGACCACTATGCCCGCCCCTGTCACCACGCCCCCATGTTCACCCAGCAGCTGGCCCCCAGACAAGGAGTTACTGGGTGGTGGGGGTGCCCCAGGGAGGGGAAGGCAGCGGTGAAGACATGTGACCGCACAGTGCCACTGTGCGGGGTGGGAACATCCTCTGGGGTGCCTCAGACGATGGGGTGGGACTCACTCCCTCACTGTCCACCCAAGGGAGGAGGATGCGGAGCCCCAACTCTCACCAGGGGCACCCAGAGCACTAACTCCCCAGCACGAGGCTTGCCCCAGTTTGACGTGCTGGGCAGTGGGGCGTCCACACCAAACCATCCCTGCAGCCCTCGCTCAGCTCGTGAACCCGGCGGTCACCGCTGTCACCTGAGGTGCCGCGTGTCGACTACTTCCTCCATGGCACCCACAGCACACCTCTCAGAGGAGCCACTGCAGGCCCAGCAGGGAGAATCCCCTGGACAGAAGGGAAACTTGCCTTTGCTTGTAAGTTGGGGGCCCGGAGCTTGCACCCTGGGAGACAGGGCTGCTCCATCCCTTTGCCCATGAGGGTGTGGCCTGCTCTGTCCTCCCCAACCAAGCACTAGGTGTTGGTGGCCCTGGACCTCATCCGGGCCTGCCCGCTCCATCCACACACACTCCTCCTGACCCGGCTCTGAAGGCAAGCCGACAGTCCTGGCCTCCCCGCTGAGCCGTAGGTGCTGACTTCACCTGCCCGCGGAGACCCTCCTCCGACCCAGCAGGTCTAGTGGTTCTTTTCCATGGATGGAACCACCATCCACCCCGTTGTTCAAGCCCCATGTCTAGAATTCACCCTTGACTCTCCTCTTCCTGGGCCCCCCCGTGCTCCACCTGAGCAAGCACCCTGGTCTCCGTCTCACATGCAGCCTGGGTCTGCCTCCCTGTGGGGCCCACAGCTAGGTGCCACTGCACCCCAGTCGGGGTGCCCTCTGTCCCCCAACCCGGCTCAGAACTCCCGTCCTGCTCAGAAAGGGTCAGACAGCCCCCCTCAGGCAGCTGGCCCCCCCGCAGAGGGCTGGTCAGCAAACGGTGGCCGGAGGGCGGACCTGGCCCACAGCCCACCTCTGTCAATGACGTTTCACTGGGACACAGCCGTGTGCATTTCTGTGCGATGGCCGCAGTGCAGGGCCGAGTGGGGGCCGGGGCAGAGACTGCGCAGCCTCTGACCCAGAGGCACTTCCTGTCCGGCCCTTTACAGAAGGCTGTCCCTTCTCCGGGACGGCACCCTGTCTTGCTTTGCCTGCACAGGTGCCCTTGTCTGCCCACCGTCTGTCTGCCTGTGTGGTCTCGCTCCCCCAGATCTAAACTCCCGGAGAGCAGCAGTTTCACTGCTGTAGCCCCAGCCCCTGGAACAGAGCTGGGCGCACAGTAGGTGCTTTGGAAGTGGTGACCTTCCCAAACCTCCAGAGGGCGCACCACGCACCACTCAGCTCTTACCTGTCAGAGGAAGTGGGTGAGGCCGCAGTGGCCACCGGCCCACGGCACACGGCACACCCGGGCTAAGCCAACCCACACTCGGGGTTTCTGGGTCAGCGCTCTGCCGTCCAGACAGCCAGGAGCCGGTGGTGCGGGGGGGGGGGGGGGGGGAGCATTGCCCAAGGGGGGGGCGCTCAGCCCTGTCACGAGCCCCTGGCCTCTCGCAGACCACAAGGCCTGCACAGAAGCCCCGCCCACACCACCTGATGTAACAACCGCTATTTTTAGGTTGCTGGTGCCGGCTGCCCGCTACCCAGATGGAGCACTGTCCCTGCCTCGGGCAGTCTGGCAGCCTTCCAGCGGCCACCCAGGACCCTGGGCTGAGCGGAGGGTGAGAATTGACAGGGCACCGAATGCCGAGACGAGAAGCAACCACAGAACGGTGCATGGCGTGCCGCATGGGTGCAGATGCCAGCAGTTAGGCAGGGTTGGACCACACACAAGGACGGCGAGGCTGGACGCTCACACCCGTGGGGGCGGCTGGTACCCACGGCAGGAAGTGACACGCGGAGGCAGGGGCGTGGGGAAGTGGGGACCCTCATGCCCTGTTGGTGGAAATTAACTTGGTGCAGCCACTGTGGAAAAATATGCGGAGGTTCCTCAAAAACCAAAAAACAAAAAAAAAACGAAGGAAAAGAAAAATCCAACCACCACACGACCCAGCCATCTTGCTTGCACAGGATGGAAAGCAGGGTCTCCTAGGGGTGTCTGCCCACCTGCCCGCAGCGTTATTCACAAGAGACCACGGGTGCAGGGGCCCCAAGGGTCCACCAGCCGATGGATATGCCCATGCGGTCCACCTGCACAGCGGCCCCAGAGGGAAGGGAACCCAGGCTCAGGCCACGGTGTGGATGGGCCTTGAAGCTACTGTGCTCCGTGAAACAAGCCATCCGAAAAAAGAGAAATACTGCATGGTCCCACCAACATGAGGCCTCTGAAGTGGTCAGATTCCCAAATGCAGAGGGTAGAAGGTGGTGGGTCACCCAGGGCTGGGGCGGGGGGGGGGCCCAGCCCCCAGTGCACGCTGTGGACGTTCGGATTTGTGGGAGGGAAGGAGCTCCGAGTCCTGTCTCACAGCGACGGGAGAGCCGCAGTACTGGGCTTCTAAATGGTTCAGATGATAAAAAAAAACGACGCAGACCAAAGTCAGGAGAAAGTGGCCTGGGGAGGGGACTGCAAGGGACCGGGAAGACGGGGGCAGACAGTGTTTTATTTAGGAAAGGCAGCGGCACATGGGACAGCGCCCTCACAGCTGACTCCAGGAGGGGGGACACGGGCTTCCTGCTCTTTCTGCCTTCTAAATGGAAGATCCTCAGACAGACTGGTCTCTGAGCAGAGAGAGGCCTGGGTCGGTCTGCGCACGGAGGAGGTGAGGCGCACCCCCGAGGAGGAGAGCCTTGTGGGCCGGGGACGACAGCCTTCAACAGTGTCCCATCCCTGTGGGGGGCACCAGACCGCCCCACACTACTCTGTCCCCCCCTCAGTGATTTATACTCTCTCTCCAGGTCTTGGTGGCCCCTGTCCAGCTACTGGCGGCAAAATGTGGCCCAGCAAGGGTGGGGTTACCTGTTGGTGACCCCACGCACTGCCTGGGGGTCCAGAGGCTCTGCACCCCTATGCTCTGTGGGCCCGCGGGGGGTCCAGGCTGGGTGAGCGGCTGGGCAGACAACATCCTCTCAGTGGCTCTCCCGACATCCGCCACCCCCCCCATGACCATGACTTCACACCCTAGTTCACCTGACTTGGAGGTTTTTCTTGGTACACACAGCTCCCCGCCCCGTCCCCCGTCCCCGCAGCAGACAGGGAGCCTTCTTTGCTGTTCTCCCCAGAGAAAGGAACCTCCCTCCCTTTGCTCAGGGGAGGGCAGAGCTGAGATGTCCCCACAACTCTTGGGGCTGGTCCCCGAGTGCTCCTGAGGGTCAGCATCTGGGGGCAGGAAGATGGACAGACCTGCTCATCCAGGGGCCACGGCCCAAGCATCACTGGGCTCTGTGTGTGGCAGCTGAGGGGGCACACGTGACCCACAGCCAGCCTGACCCCCTGCAGGCTTCTCTCGATCCTGTTTGCGGGGACATGGCCGTGTGTGGAGGAGACTGGCTGGCAAAGCCTCTGGTGTTTACTGGTTGGCCCTCGGCAGGGAAAGTGTGCTGACCGCTCGTCTGCAGCATCACACGCTGTGGGGGATGCGTCAGCCCTGGGGATGCGCCTGACACTGTGCTGCCGGGGTGTCCGCTCCTCTCCCCTGCACACACAGGGATTCCAGAGATGTGTCTGGAGCCCCCTCCAGGGAACCTGGGAAGTAGGGGCTGAAGGCTGCCCAGGCCCATCCATCCAACAGTTAAAGCTGGGGATGCTGCCTACCAGTGGTACCCGGCCTGGGTCACGGAGAGAAAGACTCAGGACTAGCTCCCCACGGGGGTGGGCTGATTCATCACCTGCCCCTCCAGCCCCAGCCAGGCCCGCATGGCCTCCAGGCCAGCCTGATTCCACGGTTCAAATAGCTACTGGAGTCCTGTGCTAGGTGCTGCCCTACTGTGAGCCACCCTGAGTCACGGCAGGGACCTAGGGAGAGGTCCGTCAGTAACAGACTTCCTGGCGGGAGCAGTTGATCTGAGAGTGAAGACAGCAGGTCATTTCCGATGGCGAGTGCAAAGCGCCAAGAAGAAGGGTGACGTGCCAGGCGGGCAGGTTGGTGGTTAGGCAAGACCTGGCTGCAAAGTGACCTGGCACCAGCCTGGACGCTGTGCAGGAGCCAGCCAAGCAAAGGCCACGGGGAAGAATGTTCTGGGCCCAGGGAGCAGCTCAGAGGCCACAGGGGAAGGACAGAAAGAGGTTGGGCCAGATGGGCTGGCTGTGGCAGGCCCACAACCAGGGTGAGGATTTGAGTTTTTCTCCAAGTGCCCATGGGCCAGGAGGACACCATCCAAGGGCTCTCTGCTTGCAGAGAGGCTGCCTCTCAGCCGTGTCCAGCCCTGGGCTTCCTGGAAGGCCCTCCCCCGTGAAAAGAGCAGGAATGAGGACAACAGACCACAGACACCGGCAGCTGAGAGCTTGCAGCGCACCAGGAGGGCCCATCACAAGCATTACCTCACTCAGTCCTCACCAAAGCCCCATCGGGGAGGGTGCCTTCCATCCTCAGTCACGCCCAAGGCCCCAGTTGAGTGACCAGGCGGCTGTGAGCTGCTGAAGGCTGCCCTTGACCAAAGGCAGGGTCAGAAATCCTGAAGGCAGGCGCCCTCCGCAAACGCCCGATCTCCGCTGGCCTGTCCTCCCTTTAAGGCAGTCAGGGCCGGCCCCTTGGCTCAGCTGGGCTGCCTCCCTGCCTAGGCAGGCGGCCCTGAGGGCTGACGTGTGTGCGGGGACACAGGCCGAAGCCAGTCATCTTCTGGCCTGCGTAGACCCGAGTGGAAATTACGAACCAGGCACACTTCAGCTCTAAGTGGAAATTATGCAGCACGCATGAGCCCGGCAGTGCCCCCCACCCCCACCCCCACCCCCACCCCCGGCCCCGCCTCTTTCCTGTGCCGTGGCTCCGGCCTGCGCAGATCGGGTTTTTCCAGACGGGGACCTCCATTTCCCACCTGCGACGAGCCGCCGACCCCTCTCCGCTGCGCAGCCAGCTCTTGCAGGGTTTAGGGACAGCGAAAGGGAAGGGTTTTCCAGGGATTCCGGGCTGGGTAGGAACAGCCATTCTGGGCCTGCGTGGGTTACTTGTGCTGCGCCACCGGAGCCCAGCTTCCTCCGACGACTCACGCCCAGCGTCTGCGGCTCAGCTGCTCAGCGGGCCCGCCAGGTGGCTCCCGCCCGAGAGGCCGGCGAGCCTGAGGCCACAGGAGGGCGCTGCCAGCCCTCCTCCCCTCCTCCCTCCCTGGGGCAGCTGTCCCAGCTCACGTCTCCACACCTCATCGATGGGACCAAGGAGTGAGGCCCCGACGGCGGGGGAGGCCAGGCATCCCCAAACACTCCCCCCTCGACCGGCGCGCCGAGATCCATGCAGCCCACGAGCGCCTCCGGACCCTCGTCCGCTGACACGTCGTGCATCCCCGGGACCCTGCCTCCGCCCGGTGCCCGCTCACCTGTCCTCACCCGCGGTCTCCGGAGCCCCTGCAGCCCCCACCCAGCCTGCAGCCCTGCCAACCCGCAGAGAGCGCCCTGCTCCGCCCCTCCGCTGCGAACCAGAGTCCGACCCGCCCTGGCTGCGCGCCTGTCCCGCTAGAGCCCGGTGTCGCGGGGAGTGGGAATGGCCAGCGGAAAGCCCGCCTGCCCCGCGCGTCCCAGCGCTTACCTCCTCGGCCAGGCGCCCCGCGCGCCCGACCCCCGTGCTGCTGCCCAGCTCACCGGCCACTGCCCAGCTCCGCACCGCCCCCGCCGCGTTCCAAACTCTCCCGGACACGCCCCTTTCGCGACTCCGCCAATCCCAGCTCTGGCGCACGGGCGGGGGCGGGGCCTGGACGCCAGCTCCGCCAGCCCGAGTTGCCGAGAAATGCGCGCGGGCGGAGCGGTCCGAGTCTGAGTGGGTGGGCCGTGCACACGCGCGCGGCGGGCCGGTTTCCAGGCAGCCCCCCCCCCCCAGGCCGAACGACCTCGGCCGAGGTTTCCCTCGGCGCCGCGGCCCTCCGCTCCCTGGCCGCTCTCGGACCGTGCCCGGAGATGCTTCCGGACCCAGGCCCGGCTGCTGGGCCCGCGGGCCGGGTAAGGCGCGGGCGGCGGTGGGATGGCCCGACCTCGCTGCCCGTGGCGGGCCCCTTGCCCCACTCAGCAATCCAGAAGCTAATAATCCTAATAAAAATAAGCAGCGTTTTATCTATTTCAACTTTTTATAGTGGCAACTGTCCAACGTACAGCGGAGGGTCCAGTTTAATGGCGCCAACACAGCAGCCGGTGATGCACCTCGGCCCTCCTCTGAGCCTGGGGTGCCAGAAGGAAGCTCCAAGCCTCACCACTCCGCAAGATCTGCCCAGCCTTCCACCGGCCTCCCCCACACTTCACCCTGCCCTGGCTTCTTCCTGGTCCTCCCACCTCGACCTCATTCCCATCTCTGGGACTGCCTCGAGGGTCCCCAGAACTTCCAGTCGCTGCATTTCTGTGGCAGCTGGGGTTCAGCTCAAACTGTCACCTCCTCAGAGAGTTCCCTCCACCCATCACCTCACCCTGTTTCATTACATTGTGACCTGGTTCTCCCACCCAGAAGTCACCTTATTACTCACTTGTTATATGCTCTCGGCTTGCACCACCCACCCAGGCTGGGAGCCCACCAGCCGGACGGTAGTCATCCCGTCCATCCTCCTTCATCTCCAGAGCTGAGACCCATGCCTGGCACTAAGGCCCTGCCTGCTGAACAGTGTGGTTTGTTCGGCCAAGCAGGGCAGACCCTGGGCACTTTCGGGAGGGCTGACTCAGTCACTTCAGCGCCGCCGGGCAGCAGTGAGGCAGGAGACGGCGCAGGAAGAGGAGCCCCCGGGCCGGTGCTGGGCCTTGGAGGCTGGAGCTGGGCCCCTGCTCTGCTGGGTGGTGTGGGCAGAGGCTGCGAGGTCGGGCCCAGTGGAGTGGAGCAGGATGTGGGCTGCGAGGGCGGGGTCGGGGGGAGGAGACCAGAGGGAGAGGTGCCGAGGAAAGCGGGGCGGTGGAGGTGACGGCCAGTGGGCGCCCCCCTGCCCTACGCTGTGGCCTCGGAGGCACACGCTCCAGCAGTGACACCTCCGGGCCTCCACCACCTTCACTGCTGCCACCCTCACTGTCCACAGCAGACAGCGTACACGGAGCAGCCAGCAGACGCCGCAGCCTCACAACGGCACTTAAAACCTTCCTCCATAAAATGTGTTGCCAGCATTTCACGGAGGGGGAGCTCACATGGAAATCGAGACCTCTGGCTTCTTTAAACCTGCAGGCGCCGCTGTGCCCAGTGCGTGGGGCGCGTGTCCTCCCACTGGCTGCGGTCCCCGCCACTCTCTGTGGCGTCTCTCTCCTCGGTTTCCCCACTTACGCCCCTTTTGGTGAAGAAACACACGAATTTACGAGTCCTGATGGGAGCCAGGCCTCTGTACCTTATGGAGAAGGGACCAGGCCCCTCAAGCCCAGAGCCCTAACCATGGAGGTCAGTTGGGACATTGAGGCTCTGGGAAATGCCTCCCCAGGTGGACATACTCTTTGTCACCTGGGAGGTCGGAGGGGGCTCTGAGCTGAGCCTTCAGGACCATGTTCCACGATGGCCTCAGTGCCGGAACCCCCACCCCCCTGCAGGAGGGGGCTCCTCGGGGAAGGTAGGTCCCGCCTTGGGTGAGTGGCCCTGGTCGGGGAGCGGGAAAGGCCTGTGGCCCGCACAGCACCCTGGCATCCGCCACTGTGCCTGGTGCGGAGCAGGCGTCCTGGAAAGGGAGGCCCTTTCAGGATTCTAAAAAACCGGAGAGAGGTCGTTGGCCCTGAGAGACCCCTGCTAGCCTTGTCTCACTGCTGACCCGGGGCCCACTCAGGCCCCAGTCTCTTCTCCTGTCCTCCCCCAGCTCTGCCGTTCCGGATGGAGCGCCAGAAAGGCCCCGGGGGCCGCCAGGCTGGAGCACGCAGCTGCTCCGCGTCCCTGCAGGGACCGGCGTGGCCGGGGGAGACCTGGGCAGAGGGCCACGCTCCTCCAGGAAGAGGAAAGACTCGTGACTCAGGGACAGGCACCAGTTGAGTCAGCCAAGCCACAAGCTGTGGAAAAAGTGAGGTCTCGCTGTGGCTTTTTCTGCTCCTTGAGTAAGAAGCCCTTTTGGAGGGACCGCTGCCTCCCAGACGGTGAGAATCAGGGAAACAAAAGGAACGTTGGGAGAAACGAAGGAAGGAAATAAAGTTGCTCTGTGTGTAAGGAGCAGATCTTGAACTTGACTCCAGGTTGGCTCGCTTCCGATGGTTCTCTGTGCTGCTTCTTTATCAGGAGTGTGCTGGAGACTCGGGGTCTCCCGGCCACTGAAATGGGGGACCCTTGGGAAGGATTCTAGCCCAGCAGTTACGGAGACAGTTTTCAAGAAGGAAACCAGGAGGTGTCTGGGTACCTTGATTTCAGAAGAGGATCTCTGGAGCATTTGGGGTTTGGGGTGCTGAAGTGCTGCGTTTGCCAGGGACCTGTCCAGTCTCTGCCGCCAGGCCCCGCCCCAGGCCCCGCCTCCGTGTGTCAATATTTACTCCTCTCCACTGTTTGTCATTCCAAGTCTGTGTCCTTTGCCTGTGTCCGGCCCCCATGGCACCTGCTTCCTGTCCCAGGTTTCCCCATGGCGCTCTGACCCGGCCAAGGGGAAAAGGAGAACAATGAAGACAGAGGCAGCCACCTTCGAAAACGCTGGGGTGGGCGGGATCGGCGTCACCACAGCCGTTGGCCGTCCCCCGGGGCTCGGCCCCGGCCGCCCTGTGCCTGGACATTCCTCTTCGAGGTACCTTGCAAACGCTATGACGTCACATGGCCACCAAAATAAGTGCACACGATCCTTGCTAGCTCACCCAAACGTCCATCAAGGGCATAGCAGGTGAGAAACAGAGATGTAGCCACAGGACAAGATACCCCTCGGGGACAAGGCAGTGTCGCCGCAGGAAGACCACGGGTCTCATCGGGGTGAGCGCCAGGGACCAACAACTCAGGAAAGAAGCCGACACGGAAGAGACACGTGTGGTGACCAAGCCCAAAAAGGAGGAGATGAAGGAGCAGCAGAAGAGACCGGAGCCAGGCTTTCCTGGGCCGGACAGTTGGTCTGAATGGTGGGGAGGAAGGGGCCCTGTGACTCGGTGTCTTCTGAGTCTGGCGACGGTGCCGTGTGTGCAAACACCGACACCACTGTGCAGCTGGGGGCTATGCACCGTGTTGCATGCAGGTGATGCCTCCAATGGGCGGAAAGGGGAGCCGCCAGGACTCAGGGAAAAACCCGCTGGGCCGTGAACTTGAGAGAGACTCCCCCTCGGGCAAGTCTCTGGCTGTGGCAAGTGGACACATGGAGACCATTCCCAGGGAGGGGGTTTGTGGGACAAGTGACACCTCCGTGTGTGACACCATCAGATGTCTGGGGGCAGTGCTGGCAGCCACAGTTTCCATTCCGCCCAGACACACTCAGAGCAGCCGGGAGGGTCAGACGGCGGTTCTGGACTGGGGTAGAGCAGCCGGACGCAGGGGCGGGTGGGTGGGCGGGTGGGGGTTGGGAGCTGCGGACAAGAGGCAGCTGCTGTCCTTCCAAGAGTCTTGGATACCCTCGAGGCCCAGGAGGAGCCCACCCCAGGGATGAATGGGGGGGCATAAATGGGGCGGTGTTTGGGGCTGAACAGTTCCAAGTTTGGAGGACAGGAGAGCTCAGGGAAGCACCCAGAGAAGGGGTGGCCGGGGAGGCGGGAGGGCACCAGGCACCGGGCAGGGAGGGAGGGTTACCCCTGCCCGGTGCCTGCAAGGCCGAGAGAGACAAAGGGCGCCCAGGACTGGCCCCGGAAGGACTGGCGCCTTCGAGGGAGCGCTGGTCGGTGGGATGGGGGGCCCACAGCCGGCTTCCCGTCGAGTCCCATCGCAGCTCTTCCTGGCCAGTCCTGGCCCGGCCTCGCCGGGCTGGCACTTCTGTGGAAGCGTGGGATGCAGTGAGCGTCCCCGGTGAGGACCTCCTCCCTCCTCCACCTTCCTCCTCACCGCCCCTCGCCTCCCCCCGGAGCTGTCTCAGGAGCCAGGTGCGCGGGGCAGGAGGGCAGCACCGTCTACGGGCAAAGCTGGCCGGCACGCAGAGTGGCCGGACCCCACCGGGGACGCTGGCCCCCACACTCCGGCCCGGCCCTGCATCTGTCTCCTTGGCGATGCTCGCCCTTCACAGCTCAGGGAAAGCGACCGGGAACATCACTGACTGATTTTAATCTGTCTGCCCCTCTCGTTAATGACGTCTGTTTAAGACGTCCATTAAAGGCCCATGAGGTTAATTAAATGGACAATTCCCATACAGTTCTATTAGGGCCCCCTTGATTAAATTAATATTATAGACATTTAACAGATGTCTTAATTAGGCATTATAGCTAAGAAATGCAAACTAAATTAGAACTAAAGCCGTTGTCCAGAAAGGGAGCTCTTTATAGTTAATTTATGGTATTTGAGGGACATTCTTGTTTACTCTTCAGAACCAGAGGGACAAGCCGGGTGACAACCGCCGCACACCCGCCACCGCGGCCCTGGGAGGCCGCCGTCTGAAGCCGTGCAGATGCCGAGCTGGAAGAGATTGCAGACGCCATCTGGAGTCCGTGGTCCCCAAACGTCAGCGACTAGAGCAGCCCGCCTGGGTTTCAGAGGAGCTGGGAGCCATCCGGGTCCCTCCCCCCACCAACCTGCCCGGCTGTGGTCATGGGACCCCTGCAGGCTCCTCTCCAGGAAACCCTGCCTAGTCTCACGGCCCCGCTGGTCAGAGGTGACATGAGTCCCACAGACTTAAGGACAAGGTGAGTGTCCCCAAGAGTCCCACACCCTGGCCCACGGAGCAGAGCTCTCCCGACAGATCCTGGGGGCTCTCCCCGCCCACCACGGTGGGCTTGGGAATGGCAGCCATGGCCCCACGCCCCCAGTCATCATGGGCTCTGTGGCCCGGCCCTGAGCCTTGGTGTGACCACTGTGTGAAGTCCCACAGCTGCTGGGATGCAGAGCCCCCTCCTCCAGGGAGCCTCCCCTGCCCACTTCAGGCGGCACCCCCCCTCCTGCCCACCCCCGCTGCCACCCCCACCAGGCTGTCCCTGGCCCCAGAGGGAGGAGGGGCTCAGCCGTTTGCAGAAATGAAGGGGAACCCGGCAACCCCAGAGCGCCTGGGACTGGAGGGGGCGGCCGGGCCTAAGCGCCGGTCTGAGCAAGTCATGGAGCCCGTGGTGACAGGGCTCAGGGGCCAGCAGTTGGGCTGGGGGAGCTGGCAGAGGGCCCAGGCACCCGTGTGGGCTGTGGGAGGGCCGGGCCGTGTCTGAGAGTGGGGGCCGGGGCAGGGTTAGATGTGCCGGACCACCGAGCTGGGGCGCAGAAGGCTGGACCCGCACAGGCTCGGCCGGCCCCCACCGGTGAACAGCAGAGCCATAGCCGAGACCCAGAGCCCAGGTCTACAGGTGCATTTTATTGTCTCACACACACGGCCCGGCCACCACGGAACACCAAGACGGGGGGAGAAACACGGCCCCAGGCCCCATCACCAGAGCAGCACCGACTGGCGTCTTCCACGGTCTCTCTGCTCCTGGGTAAAAGCTCAGCCCCTGCTCCCCGACTTCACTCAGCACAGGGTGTTTCTTCCTGGATGAGTAGCTGCCGTTTGGGGCCCGCTCCCACCGGCGGGGGTGGCCCCAAAGGGCCTGGCCGGCCGTAGTTCATCCACGGAGAGCCGGGTGCCCGGGGTCTGAGTTTCCCACCCTCACTGGCCGCTGCGGGCAGCCGGCGCTCACAGGTCGATGGTGCCCTTCGCTTTGAACTTCTTCGCAGACCGCTCGCTGGACCGGAACTGGAACTTGCTCCCGTAAATGTAGGAGAGGAAGCCGTCGGTCTCCACGGAGAACACGCAGTCTCGTTTGGGGATGACTGGGCACACGCAGGAGGGAAGGGTGAGGACGCGGCCGGGCAGCGAGTCCGCCCTCCTGCAGACGCCCTTCCCTCGGTGCGGTCCAGAAATGGCTCCCGGGAGACCAGGGCCACCGCACCGGCCCGGCCTCCGGGGGGCACTCTGCCGGCCCCCCAAGTCTCAGCTGCCCCTCTACCCCTACCGTCCAGACTCCCCCAACCAGGACCTCCCAGGGAGGTGCAGTCAGGCCTTCCCAGGACCGTTCAGAGGGGCCCCCGGCTTTAGCTCAGTGGGAAACCTATCCCCACTTCCTGAGGTTAAAAGAATCTACAGGGAAATGGGTGGAAGAGGCAGGAAGAACCAGCTCAAAAATCAAAGGACCAGACCTCCCAGTGGCCGTGGGCCCTCCTGGAGCTGGTAGGGTCAGCGCCCAGGGCCCGCGCACGGCGTCCTCCCAGGAGGTCCATGCTCGGTGGCCGCCATCGTCCGGGAGGCGCTGGCACCGCACTGGCAGGCGCGATACGCACCTTTCAGGCGGTCCTCTTTAGTGACGATTTTGAAAACGTGCTTTGTTTCCTGGAGAAGGATGCCCGTGACGCCCACGTAGGAGGGGCATTTGGATTTGGTGACTGCAGAGGAAAGGGTAGCTCTGCTCAGCCCCTGTGGTGCTGGGGGTGCCCTGGGGGGCAGGGGCCGAGCTGCACGGGACTCCCAGCCCAGGACTCTGCGGCCCCCATGGTGGCCTGACAGGCGCCTGAGTTTCTGGCAGGATTTGGGAACCAAGAGGTCACACGTGTGTCCTGCGCCAAGGCCCAAGGGTAGGCTGTGTGGATGGGGCCGCGCCCCATCCAGGATCTGAATGAACACTGTGTTTAATGACCGCCCCAGTGGCTCGGCTCAGGTGAGGACGGCTCCTGCCACAGGCTGCGTGGGGACCGAGGTGGGCTGCCACCACTGGCAGTGGTGCCTCACCCGACCCACGGCCCAGGCAGGTGTGGGCACGGCCGGGAGCGGGTGGTCCTGGTGCTGCTCTCAGGCAGAGGGCGCCTCACGGTGGGGAGAGGCCACGGCCGCCCCACCAAACAGCTGTGTTTCCCAATCGTGAAAACAGCACAGAGAAAGTAAGGTTGGGATAACGGGGGCCTCTGGTGATTGCAGACCCTTAGGGTAAGGGACCTGACTGGGGACCTGGATGGGAAGGCATCAGTCTGCGAACACAAACTTGCTGGGCAGGGGACGCAGCCCATGCTCGGGAGTGGGAAGCCGAGAGCAAGCCGCTGTGGTTAGACCCGGGGCCGAGGACCTGGGAGGGGCCTTCACAACACAGCAGGTGTCAGCGGGCGGGCCAGCAGCTTCCTGGTGGTCCAGGAAGACGATGGCAGCTCAGACTCAGGGGCAGGCGGACAGCAGCTGGGGACACTCCCAGGCTTTCTGCCTGAACTGCCAGTGTGGACGTCCGTCCAGAGCCCCAGTGAAATCCACGGGCTGGGACGGCAGGGCCCTCTGCTCAAGGTGCCAGGCTGTGGGCGCGCCAGCAGCCACCGCGCCCTCCGTGGTGGCTGTCAGGGCCGCGCGGAGAAGGCACACTGATGGTTGTGAGTGCACGTGAGTGGCCAGATTGACCAGGTGGACAATGTTGTGTGACTACGTTGTGTCTGCCCTAGCGCTGATCTGGGGACCCCTGTAAGTTGGGGGACATTTTAACTGCAGGACACTGCTCTACTGTCCGAGAGACTGGCCAGGCACAGACGGCCACACGCCGGTTACCTGAAATGATGGCACCATGAAGGTCCGCCTTTAAGAGCTTAGCCTGGATCATCTGCGGCTGCCTACGAGGCAAACAGACACCCGCTGCTGACATTACTCGGAGCCCTGCTGAGGGGGCGGCCGACGGCACGGGGAGCTGGCTGCTCAGGCCACGCCAACAGTGACCACAAGGCGAGGCTTCCGCCCCGAAGGGCAGGGCTGCAGAAACGCAACTCACGTGTCTGGCTTGAGGCCGTTGCACAGGTCCCGGATGTACTGTTTCCAGAGTTCGTGCAGAGGGAGAAAGTTGCTGTATCTGTGTCACAGTGAAAAAAGGTAGCAAGTCAGGCAGGAGCTGGGGACGACCACGTCCAAAGTGCAGAGCCTGGCTGCATGGCCTGGGTGACCCGGGGTCCCTGGAGGCTGGACAGCCTCTCTCCAGTCACAGGCGCTTCCGCTTCTCCGACCTGTTTCCTCACTGTGGAGCCTTCTGGAGGCTGTGTTTCCGCTAACCAGGGGAGGAAGGCATGCCTTCCTCTGCCCCCATCCTCCCTGCCGGCTGGACGCAGCTGTGACAGCCGGAGCTCAGGCAGCCATCTGACACTACGAGGCATATCTACAGATGCTGGGGCGGCAAGTCCACACCAGCCCAGCACCGGGCTCAGCTGGGCTTCTCTTCAGAGAGGAACAGGTGTCCCTCCTGTCAGAGCTGCGGCTCCTCTGCGGCGCCGCACTGCAGACAGCCGACCTGAGTGGGCCCTGCCAGACAGGAGACGCTGGTGGTAGCACAGGCCCCGTCGGGGGGACAGGTCTGCCTGGACAGTGACTGAGCAGGTGGTGGGGCCGAGGGAGGGGCACGGATGGGAGGACCCTACGGCTTTCCTTTGCGGCCCCCATTATGGGGCCTGGAGCCTTGTGGGGAAGCCACGTACGTGGAACTGCGGGGCAGAGAAACAAGAACCTGGAGCTCCAACCCGAAGGGGGCCCTGCCGACAGGGGCACTGCCCGGCACACCTGGGCCGGCAGCAGCCCCTCCTGTACCCGAAGCCCAGCCAATGTCCCGAGGCACCACGGACAAAGTGCAGAAGTTGTCCAGTGGATGCGGGCGGTTCTCTGGTGAAAACTCTGGGCACAAGTCTGCAGACGGCGCTAAGGGACACTCGCCGTGGCCGAGGAGGGCGGCGTGTCAGCGGGAGGGACAGGACCTCCCACAAAGAGCCGCCTGTCTCTCTCACAAGCTTCCGAAACATGTAGGCAGCACCGTCTGCGGCAATAAAACCCCAGTGGGTCATTCTGCCTGGTGCTATTAAAAGCTATAAAGAGACACATGCTAAGAAATCCCAGTTCCTCCTTTCCTGAAAGAGCTGAAAGACAAACAGCCTGTTGCCACCGGCAACAGGACAGCAGCCAGCCAGTCGCACCAGCCTCCGCATTAGAAGCCAAACCCACCCCTGGTTGGCGTGGCTAGGTCCTTAGAGCAGAGGTTAACTGAAAGGTCACTGAGAGGTCACGGGTTCAGGTCCCACGGGTTCAGGTCCCGGATTCAATTCAGGTCAGGGCGTGTGAGAAGCACCCAGCTGATGTTTATCTCCCTTCCTCCTTTCTTCCCTTTTCTCTAAAATCAAAACCAAAACCAGTGTGTCCTAGGTGAGGATTTAAAAAAAAAAAAAGTCAAACGCAGTCAGGATTGGTAAAGGAAGGCTGCCCCCTAGTGGCGGCAGCGGGAGAGGCTCCGTTAGCAGAGCAGGGGCTTCCCAAGCTCCCACACAGACCAGGAGCACCAGGTGCCAGGGTGGCAGGCAGGGGGGCAGGCAGGGGGCGGGCTACCTCTGCTGCTCCGGCTTAATGTCGAAGAGCCGCAGCTCCCTCCTCTGCCTGGCAGAGAGGCCCCTGGATTTCTTCTTCGCCTCCTTTCGCTTCCGGCGAGGGAAGTACTCCAACACCACGGCCTTGCGCTGCAGCTGGTCCTCGCGGGCGCGCTGGCTCATGCGGGGCGTGCTTCGCTTCAGGAAGGCCCTCACGAAGGCCTCGGCCCGCTGGGCGCCCGGGTGCTGCATGGGGACAAGGCGGGAGGGGGCTCACTGCTCCGTGAGGCACGGCCCGGGCTCTCTGTGGACAGGGACTCACACAGCCAGGAGCAGCCTGCGTGTCCTCCACCCGGCTGTCCAGATGCGAGAGTCACACAAGCCAGCCCAGGCTGCACACAAGGCGGCCAGGCCCAGTGCCGGCTGCCGACCCTGCTTCTCTGGGTCCATTCTGATGAAAGGGAGGAAACCCACCTCTGCACTTGGAAGAAAAGACTTCCCTGACCTGTGGCAGGGAAGGGAGGCTGGGGAATGAGTAATGATGACATTCATCTGCAACGACAGATGGAGGCAAGCTCAGAGTGGCCCTGAGCCCTGGCCTTGGAGGAGATGGTTTGAACACTCGGGAAGATGGCTCGGGTGGGGCTCCAGGGTGGCCGGCCCCGGGGTTTGGAGCTCCTCGGCGCGGTCCTCTTCACGTGGGCTCTGGCTACTCTCCAAGTCTGCTGCCCCCCTCGCTTGGGGGAGGAACTGTCCGCACATCTCAGCCCCTGCTCCCCACGCTCTCGGACACACAGCAGAGCGTCATGTGACCGTGCCTGAGCACAGGCTTCCAGGGAGGGCGTCTGGGCAGAGTGACTGTCAGAGCTGTGACTCTGCAAGGGCCCAAACAACTCTGCCTGTCCAGCTGCAGTCGCCCCCGTCTGCCCTCCCCCAGGACCTCTGCCCCAGCCCACCCCAGCCCAGGAGCACCGTCTGCTGAGGTCTTGCCTCTTGGCCAAGCCACATCCTGGACCTAAGCAGGCTGTGAGCACCCTGAGGGTGACATGTTTGTGGTGACTATGAGACACACATAGTGTTCAAGCAGCGCACAGTAGGGTGACCCAAAATCCACCATCATCACTAGTGTCGCTGTAAGAGAACAATGACTGTGCCGTCTCAGCCCCCTAAGTGGCCCCTCCATGGAGAAGCCAAACAAAGGCCTATCAATCTTCTGAAATCTTGATGTCAAGGCATCTCCCTCCTCACAGGTCAGTCACCGGTGTGACTTCTGTCACAGCCACATGCAGACACACCCTATACATCTCACAAAATGTGACTTGCCTGCCCTTTTGGGGGGTGAACGGGGCACAGGGACCAGGTCAAATGACACTGTCCACCAGGGCAGGCTCCAGGCGGACATAGCCTGGCACCCCCTACACAGCAGGCGATGACACAGGTCAGGAAGTCCCAGCTCGCCAAGCCTGACTTTGGCACGTCGGGAGAGGAGACCCGCATTTGGAGATAGGTCACCAGAACAACAGACCCTGGTGAGCCTAACACACCCACTGGGAGGATGGGGAAGAAGACGCCAGAAAGGACACTTAAGGCAGAGCTAGAGTGAAGCCACCAAGCCGTCTCCGTCATCACCCCCAGTGCTCCAGACTCCCTGCCAAGCACCTTACCTGAACATCAAGCTCTTTGGCCTCTTTCTGAGAGAGGGAGTGGTAGATTGCACCTGGGGGGTGAAAACAGACCCAAGGTGACTCCTGTGGGTGTAAGCCCGAGACTTCTTAAACTGTGGAAACGACAATGCTCATTCAGAGACAGGAGAAGGTGGAGGCGGGGTACAAAGGGTAGTTTCGAAGCCTTCTTAGAAGCCTAATCCTGCTCTCCAGGCACATCCGTCACAGGGTTCCCAGAAGCTGGGCTGCAAAACAGTGCTTCCCAAACATCGACATGCGTGGGAACCTGAGACTCAGTACAATGCAGATTCTGGGGCCCCGAGCCCACATCCTGCAGGTCTAGGAAGTTCTCAGATGGAACCGCAGGGCGGCAGACCACACTTGAAGTTGCACTAGTTTAGACCACCACAGGTTAGGAGCCCGAGGGGCTGCGTGATTTGCAGTGAAGCAACCCCGTTAAAAGTTATGTGATGCAGAAGGTTGGGATTATTACATCTGGTGAACTGTAAGATGTTTAAAAAATTTATTTTTCAGTTTAACATCTATGAAATTGGAGAGTATGATATAATTGATGTCATCCTAAACTGATAAACAGGTCTTTCTACAAGCTCAAAAAAATATATATGTATATATTCTGACCAACACAGTTTCAACCTCTAAAATTTCCCACATTCCTGTTTCTCACTTAATTTGTCTGAAGAAGAGAACTGTGGCACCTGGGACAGAGTATGGATGTGACCAAAGTAAGAATAAGACAAGGGCCTGGTTTAAGGGCCGGAAGATGAGAAAATCTGGTTCACACTACGAGCTATAAATTTCACCCGAGCTCCCTGAACACATCTGATGAAGCAAAGCAACGTGGTTACAAGTCTCATATAGGGGGTCTGGTTCTCCCTCAAATGTAAGACGGGGATTACAACGGGTTTGTAGAGAACCCTTGCCCCGCCCAGAGCCCCAGGAATGACTGCGTCACCTGTCACAAGTGCCCAGAATGGGGAGTCTTTTCCGTAACAACGCACATGTACCGGCTATTGAGCACTCATTACTTGCCACGTCCCTCCTCAAAAGCTACACATGTTTTATCTCATTATACCTTCTGAACAATCCTTTAACGTAGTTACTATCTCTCGTATGCACGTGAGAAACTAGAAGCTCGGGTACACTGAGATGCCTAACTTGATCGCACTGGCAAGGGGGACCGGCAAGGGGGGAACTCAGAACCCCATGCAAAGCCAGGGTGTCTAAGTTGCCTGCCTACGACTGCTCCCGGGGCTCTCTCTCCTCCAGGCACCTCTGCCTCCGCTCAACTCCAAAGCCTTGGGTGACCGGTATCACTGCCCAAGGAGCTCCCAGAGCGTCCCACCGGACTTGGGCCGTCCACGGAGCAGCAGGCTGGGCGGCCGCTGACCTCTCTCAACCACGGAGGTCGCCGGCCTCCAGCTCTGGCATCCGCCCCTGGCTCACAAACGGGGCCAAACCAGCAGGGCCTCTGGACCTCAGTTTCCCTGATGTAAGGCGGGCCAATTCCCAAAGCAGCTCCCTTCGCACTGCGCTGCGAGCCCACTCCCCCACCAGCACTCAGGCCCCCCAGCCACGCTTACGCTCCATTCTGGGACCACTTCCGGCGCGCTCTGATGACGTCTCCACGGGCACCGCCCACGCCTCACCGCTCTCCGGCTTTTTCCGCGGCCCTGGACCGCGGCAGTCTCTGTCCCCAAAGCCAGTGATAGGGAGGCTTCTCCTCATCCCCGGGCTCCAGCTGCACGCGAAGCCCACAGAGTGACACTCCGGGGATTGCAGGAAGGGTCACAGACCCTCGGAGCTCGTGGGCGGTGCCGCCCCTGACGTCACCGAGCGCGCCGACTGGCTTGCGCCTGGGGGCGGGCGCCGCTGCTGGAGTGGCTGGGCAGCCCGCGTGCGTGTCTGCGCGGTGAGCTTCTGCCGCCCCGTGTTCCGGGGGGCGGGGTGGGGGTGGCTGGCAACCGCAGGACTTGGGTCAGGGCACGTGGAGCGCGTAACTTGTTTCTTTTTTCATTGCTGTAAATGATAAACATTCCAACACGGACACAGGTGCCTTCCCGCTAATGGTTCTGTGCAAGTTGCACGGGAAGTCCTCGGTATGGGCGGTGACCGCCCCCCAACCACGAGTTTAGCATAGAAGTCCTCACGTGTCCAGGAACGTGGGAGAATTCTACAGTGAACCCTGTGTGCTCTTAGATCCAACGACGAACGGTTTGCGCTGCTTGGGGGTTTTCTCCTCATTGCTGCTCGAAGACACGAGGCTGTCCAGCTGCGCACTCAGGGGAAGTCTCGTAGATGGGCTCAGAGGATGGAGCCCCAACCATTAAAGAAGTGCATTTCAGTGGAAATTGGGGCCTGTCAAGGAGACTTCCTGCCATTCCTTTAAGTTTAATGGAAGGTCATGACCCTGAAAGAATTTCAGCAAACCTGCCATGGGGACAGGGAGGGCTTTGTCTTTGGGGAAAGTTGTAATTCTCTGAGTTACAAAAGTCGTGTATGGTTTTACACATTTCACGTGTACACATGTGCTGTACACATATGCATAGGTACACACGTATACCCACATGTCTCTACATAGCTTTGTATGTGCACATGTAGAAACTTTTCTTCCGGGTTTCTTTTAAGTGACTAAACCCGCTGCGTCTGGGGAGGAGCAGGCCTGCTCTGCCTTCCACCACTTGGAGGCCTTGTCGCACCACAAGGTGACAACAGCCCCGGCCCCTGGGGTGGTTCGGAGGGCTCTGTGAGACGATGCCTCCAGCGCCACCTCCATGTACATTCTCACAATCCTGGAGCAGCCCCTGAGGCTCAAGACTATGAATTTTCCTGTCCCAGCTTTGCCCTTGACTTGTATGCTGGTCCAGACGTGTCGGCGAGGAGAGGTGAGGGTGGTGCTGGTGGGGGGTGTATAGACACGGTGGCCCCAGGAGCCATTCCTCGGGCTCAGTGATGCCGCTGATCACTCTGACAGAGAAGAGACTGGGCCGTAAGGTGCCAGTGCTGACAAGTGACATTCCTGCCCACCACACCCTGTCCTGCCCAGTGATTGGGCGCTCTGGCTACAGGAATCAATGGACTGAAGCTGCCAGGAAGGCAGCCTTGCGGTCCTGCCCCAGAGGCAGCGCCGAGCTCGGAGTCGGCTGTACACCGGCCATCTGGAGTTCCAAACAGCAGATGCTACGCCACCTGCTGTGTGTGGCCAAATTCCAGTCTCTGAAATGCAGGGTTCTCCGGCACTCGGCCCCCAGGTTTCTCCGGCACTCGGCCCCCGCCAGCCACTCGTGGAGGCTTCCCCGACCCCTCGTGCGTGAGACACAACTGCAACAGACCCCCCAGTTCCCCAGCGTCTCACTCTGAGCTGAGCCTACTGCGGAAAGCTTGGTCTTGGTTTCATGATGGGGTGTCTGGACAAGCAGGACACTCGGGGTCCTGAGAGGTTTCCTTCCCGGGGCGTTGGGGGTAGTTTCCGAGGACCTGGGAGAGGTGGCAGGGAAGTCACTGCAGGCTGTGTGGGGTGTGCGTGTACGCAGCCCACACGTCCCATCCCCTCTTCTGACCCAAGCGCGGCTTTGGGGAAGCAGCCACCAGTGCCGGGCCGTGAGCTGTGTACTTGCGTGCCAGTGGGTCCGCTTGGGCCCACGACGTGGGGAAGAGGGAGGGAGAATGCAGCGGCACTGGGGCAGGGCGGCGACGCAGAGAGACCTGGCTTTGTGGTGTGTGATTCCCACAGCCCCACTGGGGCCAGGGGACAGATATCTGAAGCCAGAGAGGGGTCTTGGAACTATGGGAAAACCTGATTCAATGAGGAGGTCAGGCCTCAGCTGAACGGCCTGACAGGGAAAGCTGTCCCCTCCGGGAGGTGGAGGCCCCTTTCAGTTTTCCCGGGCTCCCCTTTCATGTGCAACAGCTGGCTTAACGCTGGGAAAATCGCCGTCTGTGAAGCACAGAAAGAGACGGGAACTGTGGCCCATCGGCAACAGAACAGAGGTCACTACCTAGCCATTGGTGACCCAGACGTTTCAGCAGGAAGACAGGGCTTTTAAAATACTGTTATAACCGAGTCAACTGCTTCAGAGGGAAAGACGGACAAAAATGGGCGGAAGGACAAGGCCTTGCAGCAGAGATGGGAAGAGGCCACAGTTAGTGGTTCCTGGGAAGGCGAGCGCCTCTGCTCAGACTTGGCATTTTCATGACTCCTGAGGACTTGTCCCCTGACCCCGCACACCTGTCCTCACCTGGTAAACAGCTACTCATCTCCTACAAGCCCCAGGCCTCTCTGGGCCCCAGTGTCCTGCTCATGAGATGAAGGGAGCCACGGGACGGCTCCCTGCCTCCTGCCTGCAGCCCCGTGTCTGGGCCCTAGGGCTGCTCCCTGCAGCTGGGAGCCCTCGGAGGGGCTCTGGGCGGCTGACAAGCTGGGCTGCACGCATTGCCAGTTGAGAGCAGCACCATGCCCAGGCTGGCTCTGGAACGTTTTCCACCTTCGCGGACCCACGGGTGACTTCATTTGGGGGGCTCCCTCCCCACCCATCAGTGCAGCTACGGGACCGGCCCCAGTTTGTCCGGCGCTGGTCTGCAGAGCAGCCAGGGCCCGGGCTGGGCCGCAGCCCCCTCTGTGGGCTCTGGGTGGCTCTTCTCTGTCTCTAGGGTCTTTGGACTCAGTGGGGGCCCCCTGGAGCCCTGGGGAGGGGACTGGGCGGAACACGCATCTCTAATATATGCCCGGTGCCTATGACCTCTGTCTTCCAAGCAGCGCTGGCTGGGGGGTTGCCCGGATGCCTTCCCCACAGGAGCAGAGAGGGGGGCAGCAGCCAGCCGACACGGGGAGGGGGGGCGGCAGGGGTGGGGGAGGGGAGGGAGGAGGTGGCTGGGGGCGTCGACTGCTGGGCGCACTGGCAGTTTCGACGAAGGCTGAGTCTGCCTGAAAACTTTTTCCCGTAATAAGTTTCCTTGATGCCAAAGAGGACCTGGCTCCAGTATTCACTGGGGGTTCAGACTGTGACAGGTCCCACTGGCATTTGTCATTGTTGGCTTGCTCTCATCCCCAGGGAGGGCAGACTCAAAAGCTGGCAGCCGTCCACAGTGGGACACCCAAGGCAGGCGGGAGGTGGCGCCCCAACACAAGCGCTGAACCTGCGGCCTCCGCACCACCTCCTCCCCCTCCTGAGCCCCTGAGCCCTTCCCTTCGGGGCTGTAAAACCTGCCACTTCCCGGAACCGCAGCCCTAGGCACTAAAATCCAGGCCCTCAGGGGGTCGGGGCAGTTCTCTGTCCACAGCCGGCTTGGGTTTCCAAGAATGCCTTTCCCCGCCGGAAGGAACGGTCACAGAGTCGGGCAGTTGGAATGTGATAGGGAAGAGAGAGGCTAAAGGGAGAGCAATTGTGAGTCTGGGCAAGAGGCCTGAGTGTCGGTGACATTCAGAAATTGACTGCGCGGCACCGAGGGGGCAGTGAGGGCGATTGGCAGGTGGCCTGTGGCCTTTCGGTCCCGGAAAGGTGAGGGGTGGCTCCCACTGCTGGTGGTTTGTTTGCTTTTCGAGGCGCCTTTTCCCTTTTACTGTGAAATGATTTTCTGCCCGGTGACCTTGTTATATTGCCAGGGAAAGCGACAGTCGTCCCGGCCAAGTAAATAATTCAGCGCTGGGCAGCGAGGTATTGACCGGAGCTCGTGCCGTGTGGCAGGTGTCCCTCTCTGTGTTTGCGGCAGGGACTGAAGCAGCGAGAGCCGAAGTTACTTAGCGAGATTGCTACCAATTAAGCTTTATTTATTTTTTACGTTAGAGAGTATCTGGTGACATTTATCCGTGACATAGGGGTCAGGAGCCACTTGATTGCTCTTCTCCCTCCTCATCGAGGGACAGCAGAGCTTGTGGTGGAGAGGCGGGGTGGCCAGGACCGGGGGCGGGGAGGGGGGCAGCGAGTGCTCACTGTCATTACAGTGCTGCCTGCCGTCCTCCGCACCCACGGTGCACAGACGCCCAGGCTCGCGAGGACGAACGTCCGAAACCCCTGGGAGCCACGGAGGGGCTGCCTCGTGCTGGGGCAGGAGCGGTGGCCCCCAAGCAGCCCCTGTGGTTTGTCCCCAACCTGCAGCCACAGGCCAACTCCTGCGCCGGGGACCAGGGCTCCTGCGGTTCCGACGTGGGAGAGTCATTCTTTCAGCAGGGGGCTGCTTTCCGCAGCCTCATTTTCAAATGCAAATACCCCTCCTGAGGGTCACAAAGAAGTCCTGCCACGTGGCACCTGGCAGGCAGCCCTGACCCAGGAGTCCTGGGGGCTCCTCCCCCTCCCCTGGGGGCCGGGAGGACAGGAAGGGGGAGCCGACTGACCACACACGGGCTGGAGTTCATCCTCTTGCCTTCACAGGGAAAACCTGGACTTCCAGCTCCGCCTGGCGAGTGTAGAGCCCTGGGTGCACCTGGCAGGAGGAAGCTGTTTTCCCTTTTCCTCACTCCTCTGTCTCCTCTCAGCTGGGAGAATGGATTTCCTACTCAGGCCGACAGGGTTGGGGGGACCCCTGCTTCGTCCCCCTGTGGTAGCGCAAAATCCTGGGCAGGGGACCAGGCCTGAGAGACACAGGGACCCATGGGAGGCACAGAAATCCATTCCAGTGCTGGGAGGCCCTTCCTTTATTTATTTCATTTCTTTAATTAGGTAATTAATCAGCAACATTGATCAGGAAAAAATGATGCCTGGTTGGCCAAGTCCTTGGAGGAAAATCAATGATGTTAATTCTCAAACATTCAACATGACTAAGAATCCTTAGTAAACCGGAGATAGAAAGATTTTCTCCGCTTGATACAAAGTTTCTACCCCGCTAACCTCAGACCTGCTGGTGAAAAGGGGGGTCCTTTGGCCGCGAGGTCAGAAACGAGACGGTCAGACGGTCGCAACTGCTACGCTGTCGTGTGTGGGAGGCGGCAGGCAGTGCCGTAAGTAAGACACGAGGAGACTAAAAAGGCAGCGCACAATTAGTAAAGGAATAAGCACCGTCATTTTTTCTTTGCTCACAGCATCTTCATGCAGAAACCTACTAAGGCACCTGCGGAAAAGACACAGGACTTGTAAAAGAGATTGGCGAGATTGCAAGAGAAAGATGGAAAAGCCCAACTGCGTTCTGCTTCTGCACACTGGCAGCAGTCACAAGTTTCGATGAGGAATGATGCAGGGGACGCCGGCCTCAGAGACTTGGGACGCCTAGAGAAAAATCTGGAAGACGACCTGCGGATCCTGTCGGCGGAACCTACCACACGTGCCCAGCTCACCGACCCGAGGGCTTGGCATTGCTGAGATGTTCGTTCTCTTTAACTTGATCTATGGATTTGACCCAGCCCCAAGCGAAACCCCGGAAATTTACGTATTTTTTGTAGAAACTGACACACTAGTTATAGTGGGGGGGGGGAATAGTACGGAGGGAATGTCCAGTGTGGCACCGACAGCGTCTGCTCCAGTCACAACACACAGCTGGTCCATTGTTCACCTCCCCTGGTCTGAGCGGCACAGCGAGGGCACCTGGCGGCCGGCCTCAGGTTGCAGTGGCTCAGTGGCGGTCTCCCGGGAATTCGCAACTGGTCTGCTGGTGGACCCTCTATGGCTCCTCACCAGTGGCCTTGCCGGGGAGCTGAGCACTTCATCTGCAGTCACCAGGAAGACCAAGCCTCTGAGTTGTCTCTGGTGCAATAGTTTCTATTTTATAGAAAACGCACGCGGTAGCTGAACACCATGTATCTCTTTAATAAATAAAGCCAACTGCTGGAATATTTCATGGCAGAGAGACCGTTTGCTTAGTCCCCGCCTCATCCATTTCGGGGGGAATGGCACGTTCTCATCCACGTGACCGATTTTCGTTTTCCACGCTGCCCGTCTGCGCCTCCCGTGTCCCCAGGCCTGTACGCAGGCCCGGGCTCCGAGGAGCCTGCGGTTTGTGTCTGAGCGCAGTGCTCCTTGTCATCTGTGTTTTGTGTGCCCAGCCCCCCCACATCTGTCCCCAGGGCTCTCTGATTCATGCAGGGAGGTGCTGTCTGCCTCCCGGATGTCCCCCCACCCCCCGTCCCTGCCGCTGGGTGGCACCGCGCTCCCCAGAGGGGCGTCTGGACTGTGGGTGGGCTGAGACGCCCCTCAGGCTACCTTTTGCTCAGATGTCCGGAGACCCACGGGCTCTTGTTCCCGCAGCTCAACACGCCTGATGGAAAGACGAAGGAGACCACCCCTTCCGGTGACGGCCACCGGGAGAAAGTGCCAAGCTGGCCCAGAGGACAGCAGCTCCGGTGCAGGGGGACCCGGCTGCGTCTGAGTCTGATGGGGACTCTCCAGGCACCAGGGACAGGCAGGGAGGCCTCTGAAGGCCCGGCTCAAATGCCACTGTACTGGGTTTCAAATAAAATCCACAGGAAAAGGTGTTCTGGGTGGTGCGTTCGAACCCATGGCTTTGTCTTTGGTGGGTACTCGTTCCTCCTGATTGGTGTGTCCCCCTACACTCCGCGCAGGCTCCCCACTCTTTGTCCTCAACTTGGAGTGCTCCACGGGGACCCCAGGGAGCACGCGCCCGGGTGCCCACCCACCTGCTTGTGGAACCGCGGGCCCACGCCTGGCCAGATCCTCCTTTGAATCCCTGGCACTGACCGAGCAGGGCCACTGGTCCCTGGGGTCTGAGGGGTTTGCTGTGGCCTCCTGGGGACCCCCCTTCTCCTCAGCCTCAGCCTGACTTCCACTCTCTTCTGTTCGGCGGCGCCAAGCTCCCCCTTCAGCGAAGGTGCCCAGCCTCACCCGCGATTTCCTTTCCAGAAATTCTGGTCCCGGTAGGAGACCTCAGGGCCCGTTCCTCCGTGCGTGCAGAGCCAGCACAGCCGCGGGGCTGAGGCCCAGCGCACACCTGCCTCCTCCCCCGCGAGCAGCGTGGGGCCCGTGGCCCCCGGGCGGGGGCCTGGCTGAAGGGTTGCTGTGATGGGACACGGCCCCCACCCCCGGCCCGTCCCTGGAGCAGCCTGGAGCAGCGCCACCCCGTCACGGGCACGTCGCCTCCACTCCACCTGGCGTCGCTGGGAGCCGCGTTCCTTTCTTGCACAGACGGCGGGTGTTCGCCTGCACATTAGCCTGAGGTGGTACTGACTGAACCGAGAAGAGCACCGATCCTTCCGGACAGACCCACGAGGTCGTCAGAGCTACAGCTCCATGGCGCTGATCAATAGATCAATAGAGATGAGATGAGAGATCACTTATTGCATCCACCGGAGCAGCGGCCCCGCCCGCCCGCCCGCGCCACGTTGGGGGTCCCTGCGCCGGGGTCAGCCCGAAGGCGCCCGTCTTTTCCTCCGGCCGGAGCGGGTGGGCGGGGCCAGGTTGTGCGGCAACACCCTAGCTCGGAGGGCGGGGGCGGGATGGGCGTGGCTTCACAGTGACGCACTCTTCGACACTCCACGCTGGGGGGCCCTGCGCTCCGCGGAACCGAGGGACTCAGGCCGCCCCAGAACGTACTTTCTGTGTTGACCGTCGGGGGTCGTCTAGCCCTCCTCTCCCAGGGAAAGAAGGCCTGGGTCTTGCACGAGCAACCAAATGCCTGGACTGGAAGTCAGGCCTGCCCCTTCTGTGCACAGCTCACTGGCCAGGGCCCGTCGCGGGGACGCAGGAGGCGCGATCCGAACCCAGAGTTGGCCCAGGAGACACGGTGTCCGTGAGCAACCTCACCGACACGCAGCTGGTTTAAACACTCGCTGGGTTTGGGACAAATCCAGGAGATCGGGCCCTGCATGCGACCCTGTCCGGGGGTGAAGAACCCCAGTCCCCGATGCGCGTCTGTCTGCCCCAAACGCACACGTTTCAGAGGCTGGAAACCATCCCCAGATGCAGGGAGAAAGAGTGTGGAAGGAGGCCCCGCGTGGGCCCAGGTTTCCCCTCCAACCAGCAGTGACTTTAGTGACAGCAAATGCACCTGGATGTATGTTCTCCCAGCAGGCTCATGGGTCGGCTCATGGATTTAAAAGGAGAAAGGCCGACTGGATTGATACCACACCTCTGCCCAGCGAACTCCTCTCCTGCGGGACCCTGGCTGGGGGGGTCACTTGGCTCCCCGAGGTCCCCTGTCCCTGGGGGAGGCTGGGTGAGTTCTCCTGGGCCAGGTGCCCCGGGCTGCCCTCCAGCAGAGCTGGCAGCTGGCCCCACCAACAGGACGGCCCAAGGCTTGGCATTCACACATGCCTGTAGAGAGCTTATTTCAAAGTCGTTTTTTATTCAACTGTTATTCAGCAATATACAATACAGTGCAGAAACAAGTGTCGGGACTTGTTTCCGGTGTTTATTTAAAAATAAATACTATTGACAGTGAATTTCAATTAATGATATGATGTATCTTTTTTAATCAAAATGTCTCGAAAGAAATAATTTACTTTAATAAAAAAGGTAAGCCCCCCAAAAGTAAATGAAAATAAGTCCCTAAACACAGCAATCTACTGAAAATAGTTTGCTTTGTCAGAAAGGTGGTGAGCCAGCATTTTCCCCAACGTATCCTGGAGATGGCGGCTCGACGGTTCGTGCAAAATGAAGACCTGGAGGTTATGTGGAGAAAAGAAAATGTCAGGAAGCAGAGACCAGCCAGCCCCAGGCGCCAAGCCCAGACCCCGCCTCGTGTGGAAAGTGGACGTGTTAGTTCAGGCGCTCGATGTCGGCATAACTTCCCCCGAGTTCTATCGATTTGTTTTCCACGTGGACTTTGTCATGCTTTTCTCCGTCTCTCTGTGTCCATCAGCGACATGGTCTGCCCTCCGCCCAGGGGGCCGGGCCAGCAGGGTGGCCCCACGGAGGGACGCAGGACCTCGACGCAGCGCCCGTCAGTGCCCCGCCAGCAGGCCCAGGAGCTTATGCAGGGCCAGCAGCAGCAGGGACAGGAGCGGGTCCGCGGGGTAGGTGCGGCCGGTGCCTGCAGGGGACCAGAAAACGGCAGGGTTACTGGGCACCTGGTTCAAGGCCTGCACGGGGACCGGTCCACGAAACATCCCGCACCCTGGCCTCTGCGTGGCAGCTGATTTCAGGGACCGGCTTGGTCAGACAGCAGGGTGTCCAGCCTCAAATGATCTGTGCTAGAGAGGAGGCCGAGTCCCAGCCTCGTTTTCATTGAATAAAAAGACAGTGTGCTCCCTCTCCCACCCCTGCCCCCAGTACTACTACCCCACGAAGTGCCCTCAGAGGTTAAGGCCCGCCCCTCCCCCCACACCTCCTCCAGAGAGTCTCCATGATTGCACCCGACTCCAGCCCCTCCAACTCATGCCTGAACCGCACAGCTGGGCACCCGCATGGTTCTGTGCCAGTCCTGTGCTTGGGGTCAAACTTGGGAGCTCAAATCCCTGGTTCGTGGTGGAGAGGGGGCTCGTGTCCCTGAGGAGTGGCCCTGGCACCATTCTGGCGGGAGGCCCCTCCCACCTGGTGCTCCAGTTTGGTCACCACCTCGGGCCCCTGGCCTGCCCCCAGCTCTCCAACTGTCTGTGGTCGGGGTGTTCATCTGTTGGAAGCAGAGGAAAGGCAGCCCAGCAAGCCCAGGCTTCTCCCAGGAAGGCAGGGTGCTTCCCCCAGGGTCCGTGAGAGGAGATGCCAGAATCCCGGACACACCGCTGCCACAGATGGTCCCCTCAGCCCCTGCTGGGTGGGCAGTCCATCACGCCAGCAGAGGCCAGGACAGGGCTGCAGCCCCTCCCTGCCGGGGGCTGAGCACGGCAGGCCAGCTGGTAGCCTAGGAGCGGCAGCCAGGAGACGGCACCCCCGGGTCTGGGGTTGCTCAGAGGCTGCTTGTCGTCCTTGCAGCTTTAACAAGATTCATTTCAGGGATGAGAGGAGCCAGCGCTGACCCAACACACCTGGGGGCTGGCCCCGCCCACAGAAACGGGGTGGGGGCTGAGAAGCTGGCGAGACAGGCGGGGTGTCCTGGCTGAGGGCTGACTGCCGTCTGTGCCCTGGGCGGCCCCCTCTGCGGCCCCTGCGAGGCGAGGAGTGGGCCCACCCCAAGCGGCAACACTTGGGCTCTGCGGCCTTCCGCAGTGCACTTGGACCTCCGCCTCGCACAGAGGCGCAGGCCTGTCTGGCTGCAGCAACTGGGTGCAGACAGCTCTTACACCTGCTCCCCCACTCGGCTCCGTCCTGGGGCCCCTCCGAGCATGCGTGGGGCAGGCGGCTGAACCTGGCCAAGGAGAAGGCTCCGTTGTGGCACCTCCCGGGGCCAGGGTGCCAGAAGGCCCTTTCCGGGTTTTGGGGGGGCTTGTGGAGTCCAGCAGAGGGAGCACATCAGAGTCATTCTGGCCACAGTCTGGGGGGCCTGGGTGTGGTCCAGAAGACCCTGGCCAGAGCCAAGCACAGTGTCGGGGGCTCTCCTGGAGGTGGACCCCTCACTTCTCTTCACCATTTCCCCCACCCTCCCCATCCCTGCCTCAGGGGACGCAAAGCACCGACTCCTTCGGAGCCCAGGGGCTGGGGACAGGGACCAGGAAGCCACTTGAGGACTCTGTCTGGTCTGCAGAAGGGTCTGGCTTAGTGCACACAGAGTCTTAAAGACTTTAATTCACAATCAAACATGTAATGCCCAGTGGACTTTTACCTAAAAACAGAGATTCTCCATCTGCTGGGAGGGCCCAGGACCCCGCGCCCAGGCCGGCTTTCCCACGGAGCCTTGAGGCCGGCAGCCCCGGCTCTTCTTGGAAGAGGTCCCCATGCTCCCCTTCCCCTCCAACCCCAACCGGGGCCCAGGGTGGCCGCCAGGTCTGCCCCAGCCCCTGGTGCAGCCGGGCCTCCCTTTGCCCAGCCTGCTGCCTTGTCCCCACCACCCAGCCTGGCCCTAAGTGGCTGAGTTTGCCAGCTCTTGCGTGGGATCCAGCAAACCAGGCCTCCGACCCGCCTTTGTCCCTATGTGGCCGTGGGACTGTGACATTCCTGACGGTCACCCATGCCCACCCCGTGGCTCTCTGTGCTGGGCAGGCCGGCTGGCCGAGCAGTCCCACTGAGTGGGCAGGTGCTGCCTGGCATGGAGGCCCTCACTGGCGTTTCAATTAAAGCCTCTTTGAGGATCTTTATTCAGAGGGAGTCAGCGAGGAGTAATCGAGCCCCCAGAACTGGACAGAATTAATTTCTGCTGTGAAATTAACATGTGCTGGTAACCAGGCAAAGACGGGGAACCACAGAGGCCGCTGGGGTGTGAAGGGAATGGAGACGTTGGGAGAAAACCTGCGTGTGAGGGCGGAGGGGCAGGAGAGTGGACGAGATGTGGGCCCCTCGGCCTGTGCTCGGCCAGCTGCCGTCCTGTCGGGGCCCAGCCCTGGGCTGCAGGACAAAGCCGGGGGGGGGGGGTGACACCTGCGAAGGTGGTGTGTGTGGTGGGTGGGCACGGCACCCAGGCCCCTACAAATAGAATCCAGGCTCCTTCCTGGCTGGACAGCCTTCCTGACCCTGCCTGTGCCTGAACCGCCCCGGCCCTGACTCCTGGCCTCCCGCTCATGGCTCATGCTGTCCCCCTGGCTGGATGTCCCCTTCGTCCCAGGCGACCCCTGGGCCTCTAACCCCCCTCACCATACCAGGGATGGGGCAGAGACCACAGGGCCGCCCAGGAACCCAACCCAGCCCCCAGCCAGAGGCCAATGCAAAGCAGACGTCACACCCCCCACGACCTCACCTGAGGTCGGAGACCTAACCCCCTGCCCGGCCCATCTGAGGACCTCCAGACCAAGTCCGTTTCTGGGCTCCACCTGAGCAGCCCGGGGTGTGTCCACCCTGTGACCCGTGTCTTCCCTGGGGTGAAGCACGGGAAGGCCCGGACCCCTGTCACCACACTTCCTGCCTGCACCCGGCAACGCTCTCAAAACACCTGTCACACGAACAAACACAAGTGTCGCTCAGACGTCCCCGTGTGGTCCAGGCGCCAGTGACGGCACCAGGGTCGCACACGAGGCTGGATCCTCAAGGCCGGCCGCCGTCACAGTGCCGTCACCTCTCACGCCCACACCCTGTGCGCCCCCCTAAGTTCTCCAGTGAGCTCCACTCTGCCACCCCTTCCCCTCCCCCAATCCTTGTTCTGTGAGGTGCAGGTCGCTCTGTACACAAACCACTTCGAATTCCTCCCTCAGAAAGTGACGTCATGCAGACCTTTTTAAAATACAGAAACGTGGTCAGATGCATTGGATACTTTGTGTAACTTTCACACTCAGATACATCGGTAACTGTGTAAATCTCTGGACTCTACCAGTTGCTTCCGAGCCCTTGAAGCAATAGGACCCCCTTTTCAAGCTACCTCTGCCTGGAACCCCAACATCTGAAACCATTCGGAGCAGAAGTGCCCTGTGTGAAGCTGGGGGTACAGCTGGGGGCCCAGGGCTCCAAAAACCTCCATTTGGGAACCACTCATGGGAGGCTATCTGGGGCCTGTTACGGGTCTGAAACCCATGGACCAGTGGGCGCTGGGGGCCCGTTTCACAGACCCCACCACTCCGTGGGGGTAACAGTCCAGTTGTAATCCAACTCATCCCCTCCCCGGCCTTTGTCCCTCAAGGCACAATGTGCCCCAGATCCCTCCGGTGAGGCAAACAGTAGGCACTCAATCAATGCCTACTCAATGGAGGCAGCTCAGTGCCCCGCCCAGCAGAGCTGGGTGGGCCCGGCCAAGCCAAGGCAGGAAAGATGGCCAGAGGCCCGAGGCCCAGGACACAGGGGCTGGGCCTTCCCTCCAGACCCTGCCTTCATGTTTCCCACAGAGACCTTGTCTTTGGAAACGCGATTTCACTGAAAAGGTTAACGCGGTTTTAATTGCCCAGGGACCCTGCTCTGAAAATTCTGTAACAGGTGCTCATTACATAAAATCAGCGCCCAGGAGCTGCCCAGGAGCTGCCCGTGGCCAGTGCGCCTCCGCAGCCCGGGCTGCGCCTCGAGTTACTGCTGCCGGTGTGTTTCTGTTACATCAGTCCCTCATGCGGCCCCCGTGACTCGTCTGCCCCCCTGGAGATTCAGTTTGTTAGATGCTTGGGGAAGTGTCTCTACACTCACTTTCACGTGGATAATAATAATCCAATCTCAGCCTGGCCGCGTCCACCCGCATACCCGGCATCCAGCAGAGACGGGGGCCCTTGCTCCCTCCCTCGGCAGGAGGGACGGTGGGGGCTGGGGCAGGATGAGCACTTCTGGGCTACGCCACCAGCTGGGACCTCTCTCCCGGAGGCCTCCTTCCTGGTCGACTCGGGCGGGACAGCACGTCTGCGGCCCCAACCACTCGTTCTGCAAAACCCAGCCTGCACCCGTGTGCACACGCCTTCCCGCTCCCGTTCCCTGCACGCCCACCCCGTCCTGCCAGCCGGCCAGTCTCTCCTCCACCCCCTCGCTCCCCCTCAGCTACTTGTTTTTCAGCCCACCCCTCCATCCAGACAGTGCGCCCGCCCTGCCGGGTCCGGGCTGGATCACTGCTTCTAACGTGGTCTCCCCATATCCACTCCGTTCCCCCGCCCACGCTCCACACCACTCCTCCCCCCGGCCACCGACGCCCCCTGCAGGAGGCAGCAGGCACAGCAGGGCCGTGTGGCCAGGCCCACACAGCGGCAGGTGTCATTTGCCGTGGACACGAGAAGCCACGGTGAACTGCTCACTGGGCACCTGACTCGTGGAAAATAGCAGCTCCAGGCAAGGACAGGGTGTGGCGTCTTCCCCTCTTCCTGTTCTCCCACTTGGAATGGCACTGGCTGCGCTGGCTGGAGGGGCTCAGTGGGCTGGGCGTGGCCCCAGAAAGCGAAAGGTCACAGGTTCAATTCCTGGTCAGGGCACCTGCCTGGGCTGTGGGTTCTGGGCCTGGTTGGGGTGCGTGCAGGAGACAGCCCATCGATGTTTCTCCCCCTACCTAAAATTAAATAAAGCCCTGACGAAGAAATGGCACAGAGAGGGAAAGACAAAATCAGCTGC